AGTCCGTGTTTATCGATCAAGTGTTTCAGACCCTGCTCGGCAACGTCAAATGTCAGATCAAACCTCATACTGCCACCATTGGACCTAAGAGCAGCTTACCGTGCGAACAGCCTCACCCATCTCCTCGCTCATCTCATGTTTGGTGACTCGTGTGTAGTAGACCCGGAAGTACTTCCAGTCCGCTTGAATAGCGCTCGCCTTTTTGTAACCCTTGAGACGGCGACCGTTGGAATTGTACTTCAACTTGAGACAAAAATTGAGAAACAGATGCATATCATTCGGTGTTGCCTGCTGTAAGGCTTCTTCTGCATCCTCCCACTTCGGATCGGCCGACGGTTTGATTGCATTCACCCGACAGTATCTGCCCACGACAGTAAGTCAGATGAGAACCACCAGTAACAAACAAGACCCCTAAGGACGGGTCTAAACCAGAAGTCACTCACCGCGCCCAACGGTTCTTCAGCCGAAGTTTCTGAACCTTGGTATTAGAAGACTTTCCATAATCCTCCGGTACATTAGCAAGATCCTCATCGGTATCGTCAGCCGGGTCTTCGTAGCGAGCACGGTGCAGCTGTTCCACAGTCAACACGCACACATCCTTGGCGGATGGCGGAGGACAATTTGCAGGACCTGCTTCGACACTGGCATTGATGCTAGTCTTTCCACGTGTGGCTTTTCGATACCTTGACGAAGGACGTTCTAGATCCGCAAGTTCGGTGTCCGTTTCGGAAACGTAAGGTGAATCGTCTTCGGTGACAGCAGATGTGCTCGACGTTTCACTGGTGCTGATTTGAGAGGCAGAGCGGGACTTTTTCCGAGACATTATCAAAGTCCTTGCTAAACGAAGATCGAGGTGAGATGGAGGCTTGAGGAGCAGGGATGCAAGGATGCAAGGCGAAGAAAGATGGAAGGTAATAGAATCCAGAGGGAGATTGTGGAATCCGAAGTTCCGTCAGAGCTGATGAGAGAGTCAGGAAACATGGAACGGGAAAGCAGTATTTATAGCCATCGCGACTAGGCGATAGCCAGTGTCGGGCTGAGGAGGCTCAGAGAAGGCCATCTTCGGCGCGCGCATGAAACGGAGCGCAGGTAGCGGCGATGGTTGACGGTTCAAGGGACTTCAGCGACGAGAGAGGATGGAAGCCGAAGCGCCCTTTGGAAAAGCTTCCTCAGGCAGAAACAGATGCGCTCGATGGGTGCGTGCACAGAGAGTGCGGGAGCGTGGCATAAGGTAGTTGCTGGAAGGGTGCCATTTTCGGCGTCAGTTGCTGCCATTTCGGGCAGCAAAAAAGCAAGTCGCAATTCTTTAAGAGTTATTATCTTATTATCTAAAGATTAATTATATAAAAAATATTTATAATTCTACTTAAAAAAGGATTTATATAAATTAACTAATTATTTACTACAGTACTAATTCTATTAGTTTAGAAACTAGATAATAATATATAATTCTATATTAATTACTAAAAGTTAAATAAATAAATAATAAATAATTATTATTCTCTACTACTAATTTATAAAATATTATAAAATATAAGTTAAGTATATTAGTTTATTAAATTTAATAATATTATTACTATATTTTATAAGATCTATATCTATTTAAAAAAAAATAAAAGATAATTTTTTAATTATATTATAGTCTTTATAAGTAGAATATTATCTTCTTTAAATTAACTAATATATTAGCTATATTTTAAAAATATATTAACTAAATCTTATATAAGTATCTAGACAACTTTATATTAGTTTATATAAATAATATAATTATTTATTTTAATAAAACCTTATCAAATTATTAATAAAAATTAATAAAATATTGTAAAAATTATTAGATATAAGACTATAATATAATATTATAAAATCTAAGTTTAAATAGGAATTAATAAAATATCTTAACTCTATTATATAAGCTAAAAAAGAGATTTATATTAATTCTAAGAAAATAAAGACTATTAAAGTATAAGAAATACTAAAAATAATATAAGATATATAAAACTTTATTGGATTTATAAATTTTTATTAATTTTTTATTCTATAATTTATTAACTTTTCAGTACTATTAAACTATTTAATAAAAAAAATATAATTTTTAAATAAAATAAGAATTATTAATAAGTTTTTATAAAATTAAAAGACTTCTTTATTAATATCCTAATTCTAGTATATTTTAAGAAAAAATAATAAATAATTATTAAAGTAAATATTTTTAGTTAAGTAATAAGTATAGTTTTATCCTAATATAGACCTAATAAATAGTTATAACTATATATTTATCTATTTTAAAAGTTATTATTAATAGAATTAAATTATAAGATCTATAATAAAAAACTATTAGTTATTATATATATTTTATATAAATAAAAATTAGAGCTAAAAATAATTCTATAATTTATTATTATAATTAATTATAAAAATTTATAATATTTTAGAAAAGTATAACAACTTAATAAATAATAAATATATTAAATAGATTTTTTAATTAAGTTTAACTTTAAATTTATTTATTAACTAGATAAACTAGTAGTTTAGCTAGATATATTATTAAAGTAGAATTAAATAAAAATTAGATAAAAAGATTCTATTATTTTAGATTATTTTTTTAAATAGATTTTTATTAATAAAAAATTTAATTTATAAATTAATTATTAATTAATCTAAATATAGATATATATTTTATATATCTAATTATTAACCTGTAGTTAGGTATAAAAACTTTAACTAATCTAACCTGATCTGGCTATTAGCTACTCTATAGTAGATTTTATATAATTATAATCAGGGTATATAGAGAAAAATATTTATAAATTAGAATAAAGAAATAGTTAATAATAATTTATTTGTTTTATTTTAATAAAATTTTTCTTTATATCTACTGCTAGAATAATATTAGATATTCTAAAATAATAGAATTTTTAATTTAAAAAAACTAGTTTTATCTCTTCTAGTAGATAATAATTAATCTAATTTAGATAATCTGTAAAGTATTCTTATAAATAATGGATTAAATATCAGATTAAGAAAATTTTATATTATATATTAAACTATCTTTATTTAAAAATACAATATTAAAATAGAACAATATTTTAAGAAAAAAACTCAACTCTTTAATACTATTTTATAATAGAAATAGATATTAAAATTGAAAAATAAAATAATATTTCTTGAATTGATTATAAGATAATATTACTATATTCTTTATCCTATACTCATAGTTAGTTTTTAAATAAAAAAATAATAAAACTTAGTTTAGATTACTGGAAACTAGGTATTTTAATATTTTTAAGTAAATTATAATGATATTTTTAATAAATTACTATTTAAAGTTAAATTTTTTAGTACTAGTATACTCTAAGATATATTTTAAATCAAATTCTATATTTAGTTTAAATAATTTCTCTATTCCCTATGAAAAATAGAAGCTGGGAAATTGAAAACTTAAATAATGATATCATTTAGAATATAAAAAATATACCTGGAGATATAGATTAATATATCAATATAAACTTAAATAATAAAATACTGAATATATATATAATATACTAGTTTTTTTTATAAAGTAGTTAGGAGAACCTCAAGTACTATATGATTTATAAGATTAAATAAAAGTCCTATCATTCAATAGAAAAAAAAATCTTTATTAAATAATAATTAACTAATTCAAACTTCTACTATATTATAAACTCTTTACTTTATTAAAGAATAGTTCTTATAAATATATAAATTAGATTCTCTACTGAAAATCAGAATATTATTTATAGTTTATATAAAATAAGAATAGTTAATAGTAAAAGCCCTATAACTAGTAGGTTAAATATATAATAAATCTTTTTTAAAAAAAAACCTAGAAAAGATATTTTATATTTTTATTATATTTTAATCTTCCCTTAAGTGGAATGTAATTTAACAGCAACAGAAGATACTTATATATCATCAAAATATCTTAAGTTTTTATATATTTATTACAGGAAAGAAGATGTTTTTTATAAAATGGACTTTTATATAGTTATAATAAAAATATAAATAAATAAATATATAACAGTAGGAATTTGTATATAGTCATCTACGAAACTACTAGTCTACCGGCGTGTGGCTTATGCGTGGCCAAAAGTTGGGTGGGCGCCGCCCTGAGTGAGCTTAGGGTAAGGCCGCTTTACAGTCGCGCGACTTGGGTGGGACGCGGGTGATTTGGGTGAGTGCGTAATAGACAGGGTGAGCCACTCACCCTGTGCTCGCCGGCCTCGCGTGACCTGCCGTGACAATCAGTCGGCTAAACTCTGATTTCCACCCTTACCCAGTAAACCTTTTAACATTGGCTACTAGATTTATAGCTCGGAAAACTAGATAGCTTGGCAGGATGGCATAGCCACGAAATCAGCGCAAGAATGCTGCTGCCTGGGGATACCTGTTGCCCTGCTTGATTAGTGTTGCAGACAGGAAACTAGATCTTGGACCAGAAGCCTTGATATGCTTCAGCGGCTGTGAGCTTACTGTGTTTACAAGCATCAAGCAAGGATAATTGAAAGTAAATGCAGTAAAGAAGAGTATGTTAAAGAGGCACGGCTGTTGATAATTCTGTTATGTAGAAGTAAAATTTATTCTGTGGTTATACCCAGCTTGAAAACTCACCTAGGTGTCCGCAGAGGTTCTGCTATCTTCACGTTCAGCAATTCCATAGACTGCGGTTCTTGATTAGCTGAGCTTCATTTTTATATCAGTGACAACTCGGAGCCTAAAGAGCGATAGCGGGTGGTGTGGTCTGAACACTGAACCGTGGAAGCAGAAAAGAGGCTTGAGTTCATTCTAAGAGAGAGAGTCCTGTGTGTTTTTGTTTTTAAAACTAATGAATGTTGCGAGTCGGCTTGTTCCAAGCTTCGTTCTCCTCAACTTCGTTGTTTAACAAGAATAGCAAAATCGACGAATCTCCATGTTATCGAGTTTTCTGAAGTTGACTTTGACAAATTGACAGCCTGCTGCTTTTTTCTCTTCCTGCTCGATCTGCATTAAGTTTTATGACAATGATAATGATACACCTTGTGGCCAAGCAGAAGTTTCCCACTATCCCGCATCGATGCAATCAGCTTTTCCAGTGAGGCAGCTATCTAGCATCGTGTGCGGTCTAGTACTGGTAGTCGTTACAAGGTGTTGAAACTCAAATCTGGAAGTACGAAGTGATCGACTACCTCACTACCTAACCTCTCCCAAAACTGAATCCCTTCAGAGTTCCTACATTCTGCCCCAGCTGCAAACCCGAATTATGAGAACCCGAAAACGTCGCATTCGACACATTGGCGGCCCGCCTATTCTTCTCCGGAAGAACAATCTTGGACGCCCACTGGGTAAGAACCCGAGCCACCTTCTTGAAATCCTTGTCATCCTTGCCGTCGTACTGGCTCAGCCGGAGCTGATTGCGCGCCAGGCGCTCAGGAGGAGGAGCATCGGGGCCTCGGGCCAACGCCTCATCAACGATCTTCACGTCCTTGGCCGCATAGAAACCTTCCACCTGGAACTCCGCCCCTGCTTGCTTGAGCTCGGCAAACCGCTGTGGGATGGCGCTCAGGCGATGTAACCGGTCCTTCAGGCCTGACTCGCTGGGGATCTCCGCCTGCGCGACTTGGAGATATTTTATGGCTGCAGCTAGCGATCCCGGCTGGAAATGGGGGGTTCCCAGTAGTAGAATACCATGGATATAACCAATTAGCTCTCTTTTCCTGGGATGTTCGGCGGCTCGGACTAGGGCCTAGACATGAGAGAATCTCCTACTTTAGTGGGCTGTTTGCCATGGACAGCGAGCGAGCGAGGATATCGTACATTCTCTAAAACAACGCCACCGAGACAATGTGCGACGAAAATAATCGGTCTTTCTTCCTGTTTTGCTACGTCAACTAGCTGGATCAAGAGGCACGGGTACAGCAGAGCGGATCTGGGAAGAAAACCTTTTCTTTCTCAGTTCGATGGTCCATCAGCTCGTTGATCAGGTCGTTGGAAATGTCCGTGATTTCGTCATCCTCGTCAAAAAAGACACCGATGGCCGCTTCATACTCGAACGACAGGATACATGCGTCGGAGATTTTACCCGGGAGCAGCTTTTCAGGCCAGAAGACATCCGCCTCGGATGTCCACGGTGCTTGGTCGCTGTGTAAGCCGTGGACAAACACAATACTGTCGCGGGTTTTTCGGGTAAGTACGCTGATTTATAGAATGCGATGTTCTGGGCTAGCGAAAGACATCGGGCCAATCTTACTCAACTTTGGCGTTGGCCGGTTCCCGAACCGCTTTGATAGACATTTTTGAAGATGAATGCAGTGGGACCTAGGAAAGCTAGCTAGGATAGGTAGCAAGCAAGCAATTGATGATCCTTTGCGATAACCAAGGACTTTTGACTATACAATGCAGAAGGGGTGAATGGCAAAGGGGTGACGACATACGACCAAGGTAGAAGCGTGGAAAATTCACAACCAGACGAAAGATTCACCTTGAGATCCGCTTCCTGCTTGTTTGTTTATTAGTCTACAGGCAAGCCTAGCCTGTATTTTCTCATTACAAAAATAACACAAAGCGGCTCGAGCACTACGCCTGGTCATATCTTGGCGCCGAGCGATTCGGCTCCATGAATGGGTTGGCTGAAGTCTCGGCCCTCCCCGAGTCCCCGTGTGTCAAGCCCATGCAGAACGTTCAAAGAGGCAGGAAGGGCAGTCATGCTATTAGGCTAAATAAGCTCGTTAATCTCCAATCTCGTATAAGTGGTGGAACGAGGCGTTCTTTCTATGAGATCTCGCCTATCAATGGCTACCAGATTTCGGCTGGCTAAATGTGCGGTTCCTCATGTTACATTGATTGTCTGATGAACCAATGATACCGGTATGTGTGTCCGGTATGAAGAGGTCGCAGTCACTCCGGGAACTCTTGAGATGGACGGGAATAATTCACTCCCGGACCACTGCGTCTCAATGTCCTTTCACCGGTGCACGTGGTGGATGAAGGATACCGTCTGAGCCTTGAGGAAGAGGGACTATCAACAGGGCGGACGAGAACTATCCTTCCTGGTTCCCAGTTCAATACTTTGAAGGTTTCCGCTGGAGGGCCGGGCAAGTCGCAGAGCCTAGGGTTGCTGTATCGGCCCCGAGCAGTAAATGGCCACGGACTGGTATTAGCTGAGTTAATGAAAATAACTACCCCGCCCTGATTGTTGCTACCTAACACACACACCCCATTCTTGTGGAGCAGTCTCTCACAAGTGGATATCTGATCTTATTCTGGAACTGCACTATTAGGCAATTGAGTATGCTGTAGTCTCGAAGAATAGATTAATACGTTTGTGCGTAGAATCCTATTGTTCTCCAAACTGGGACTCGTATTTTTCACTCTCCGGAGTCCAAGTGGGGTTGGAGGGGGACATGAATGCGGCTGGAGCCTGGGGCCAAGAGTCACAGACAGCTGTTGGCTCTCCATTGGTTGGCTGGTTTAGTTGCTGACTTGACATCCGGATCTCTCAGCCCCAGTTCTGCTCCCCTGTATAGCAGGTAAGGCGCTGGACTCTGCTGGTGCTCATTAAATATTGGCTTTCCGGTGTTTGAGTCCAAACAGCATCATTGATGTACGTCTCTCCCTCATTCAATCTCGCTCCAGCATTCGTCTTTCACGCTTGCCTCCAACATGGCTACCCAGGGGCAACTCGACGCGGTACAGGCGTCCGACATTGCTCAGCTCTGGTAACGAGCAGACGAGGACTATGAGAAGAGAACCAAGAGGTCTTTCCACCTGGCCCAGTTCAGCAACATCCAACAAATAATGAAGGGCACGGAAGGCATGTCGAATGAATTTAAGGATTTCCGGCATGACCGATCGAAAACAGACAATGTGCGGACTGCATTGAAGAATAATTTACAGCTGATTCAGAAGGTCGTTAATATGGTCGAGGTGGTCGGGAATGCTGCATCAGTATGTTTTCTTACATGGAATCATCAGCGCGTATGCTATTGATGCTGATGCTGATGCTGATGATGGTTAACATGCTTTCCCCCCCCCCGCAATTCCAGCCAGCTTGATTTCTACGGCCTTTGGACAGGTCATGCAGGTGCGAGACTCTGGTTGATCACAAAATGCCGAGTTGGGTTTCTGATAACGCCCTAAGTCTTTTGCCTCGGTATCCGCCGACTACGACAAAATCATGGGCTTCTTCGACTTCACGCATCGCTTCTTCGACCGGCTCTCCATGATCGAGGATAAAACTCCCCAGCAAGCGCCGTTCCAGCGATGCGTTGCGCGGGTCTTTTCAGGCATGCTGACCATTTATTCCGTGGCGCAGGAATATGCCGAGAAGAAAAGATCCAGTGAGCAGCTTTTCCTTGATTACGCTCTCTCTCTCTCTCTTTCTTTTCTTCAATTTTGTTTTTCTCTTACAGCGGTGTTAATTAAGATTCTCTCATCTAGAAAAGTGGTTTTCTAGTTTGGTTGATGGATCGGATGGGGCTCTTTCTGGTGCCATCCAGGAAATGGAGGAGGCCGTGAACGAGCTGACGCAAGCCGTTGGCCTAACCACGCTGCGAACCGTCGATATCCTCGACAAGATCATACAAAGCATTAACGGAAATGTCGAGTTCCTCGTAGCGCAGGTCACTGTAATCGATGGACGAATGGAGGCCATCAAATCCGACACGATCATCGAACAAACCCAGGCGCTGGACCTGAAACAGGACGCTATGCTCAAGATGTTGGAGGAGCAATCCCCACTCTTCAAAGACGCAGTTCAATGTTTCGAGTCTATCCAAATGGGGTCTAATCTCGGGCAGAGTATCCAGACCAGTTTGCTGAAACTGGACGTCGTAAGGCTCCGGCTGACTCGGTGGGGTGAGTGGGTTGGACTGTCGAACGTGGCCGACGGCGATGCGAAAGAGCTCCAGATGACGAAGCTCGCTCTCGAAGCTCAAGAGTAGGTCCAGGATCTTCTGACTCAGATGTCGGAGCTCTTTGCGGAAGCTGAGGCGGCGTCGAAGCGATTGCGACGACGCAATCCAAGCTTGAAAGTGCTGGACCCCGCCGAAGAGCTAGACGGCGTCACAGCTTCACTGCACCAGAAGAAGGAAGATCTCGCTAAGAAGCGACAGGGAAATTCCGAGTTGGAGCAGGATCAAGTGATTATTCTATACGAGGAGAAGAATCTCGCCCGGCTGGCCGAGGACATCAACGGATTAGCGGACGGGTTGGTAGATCTTTTCCCGGGTATTCAGGAAGGACAACGCAAGCTGTGTGAAGAAGAGGGGTCTGAATTGAACGCAAACGAGGGTGCTCTTTCGCCACTGAAGGAGGTCGCTGCTGGCCAGGACAAGCTGCTGAGTGACACGGTTGTCAAAGCCATTCAACCACCACCACCTACACCAACAGTGTGGTGTTTTCGGGACCTAACTCGGGCTTCCAGATAAGGAACAATTCCGGCAAGATTAGTGGTGTCCTCTTTGGCGGTTCCTAGTTGCCTCTGGTGATATCGGCCGAAGAATGAATAGTGAATGCATATATATGTTGATTTCAATTCTCATCTACCATCACGACCATGAAATGCATATAGTATTCCTGGTGTCCATATAAGACGAAAAGCGAGTTAGAGAGAGGAAACCGGTTCGAGTATCGCAGTGGAACGACCGAGAGAAATTGATTGATATAACCTCCCCACAGCTGCTACAAAAGGAACGACATACGAACTGGCCTACCAATGTTAGTAAACCGCATCTGACCTAACCCTGACAGAGACTGAATCTTCAACGGTCAAGAGAACTGCCTGGTTAATTCCATCCCCACTCCGACTTCCAGCCAGGTAACTAACCCGCTGCTGAGCAATTGGCGTCAGAGCTGAAGTGTTTCCAATATTGATGTAAACTCCGTCGATCAATGTCGAAGCTTGAAACTAGACCGTTGCTGAATCCAACAACCACTCGATCGCCACGCACATCACAAGAACAAACCTGGAAATCAGGCAATAGCCGAAGGAAGGGCATGGTTCCGTATGTAATCCACTGGGCTCTTACATAGAGGTTCTGTAATAAATCCGAATCCGACCTCACTGGCAGTTCCTCCTCTCCTTCCTCCGCCACGGTGCTCTCAAGTGATATTGGTCCAATGGCTGTTTCAAGGTATCGGTTTCCTGCTGCGAATTTTACGGCATAAACCTGCTCTGATGTTTTAATTACCTTCCATGGCAAGGACGACTTGATATGACTACCGAGAGCGCGCCCCAGAAATTTCGAGGCTTTGAGCGATCTTTTAATGTTCCAGACCCTGATGGTCTGATTACCACAGACTGCTGCGATCTGCTGGCTGTCGGATGAAAAGGCCACTGTAAGGATTGTTGTGCGTGCATGGGAACCTGTTATAAGGGCTGCCGAGACCGCCGTAATGACGCTCTCAGGATTGCACTCGAGTGTCTTCTGGAGGTCTCCCGTTTTAGCATCCCAAAGCTTAATTGTTTTATCTTTGGAGGCTGATGCAATTAGCTTGCCATCAGGTGAGAAGGTCAAAGAGGTGACTCTGGTTTGGTACCCGTCGTCCGAGCCGATCAGGGACGAAAATTTGCTGCTGTGGGCTGCCAGTGTCTTCTTGCGGTCACCTGTGGCAGGATCCCAGAGACTAATTTTGCCGTGCTCATGGCCTGTCGCAATCAGCCTACTGTCAGGTGAGAAGGCGACAGTGTTGAAATTGTCGTCGCTCTCAAGTGAATTCTGTAGGTCACCTGTGGCAGCATCCCAGAGGTTGACTGCTTCGTAAGAGAACGAGGCGATCTGCTTGTTGTCTGGTGAAAAAACCACAGCAAAGACTGTGTTTTGATGGCCTGCTAGTGTTTGCTGGAGATCGCCCGTTGCAGCATCCCAAAGCTTAATAGTTTTGTCAGCGGAGCCTGATGCAATCACCTTGCCGTCTGGTGAAAAGGCTACCATTGGAACCCACCCTGAGTGGCCTACGACATTCTGGGTTGCACCTATGGTATTATCCCAACGCCGGATAGTGGAATCAGTAGAGCCTGTAACGATATGCTTGCCGTTCGGTGAGAAGGCCATGGACGTAACTATGTCTGGGCATGCTAGCGTTTTTTGAATATTGCCTGCAACATCCCAGAAGATCATGCAATTAGCAAAGCCTGCAGCGATCTGTTTACTGTCGGGTGAGAAGGCCACCGTGAAGGCGTCAGGGTATGCCAATGTCTTCTGGAGATCACCTGTTGCAGCATTCCAAAGATTGATAGTGTCAGAACAGGCTGATACAATTTGCTTGCCATCTGATGAAAAGGCTACAGCTTGAACCGTGCTTGTGTGGCCGACTAGTGTTCTCTGAAGGTCACCTGTGGAAGTATCCCAGAGCCTGACCGTGCGGTCACGAGAGCATGATACGAGCTGCATGTCGTCTGGTGAGAAGGCCAGAGCTATGATCATGTTTGAATGGCCTGTAAGTATCTTCTGGTGGTCTCTAGTAGCCGTGTCAAAAAGCATGATAAATATATCATCCTGAGCATGACCGATTGCCGCGATCTGCCTGCAATCCGCCGAGAAAGCCAGGGCGTGGGGTTGGCGCTTTTCTGGGTACTGCAAGTGGAAGCAGTCCTGACGGTCGCCTGTGGTGGTATCCCATAGCATAACGGAGCGATCATAAGCGCCTGATATAATCAGCTTGCTATCTGGCAGGAAAGCCATAGCTGTGGTCAGCTTTGAGTGATATAGCGTTTGCTGAAGGCTACCTGTAACAGTATCCCAGAGCTTAATTGTGCCATCCTCAGAGCTTGATGCTATCTGCTTGCCGTCCGGTGAAAAGGTAATAGTGCTGACAGTTTCCAAATGGCCTGCTAGTGCCTGTATCAAAGGCGTCCAACCGTCCTCCCATTGAGGAGCCCTTCCCAGCCATACAGGAACTTTGTGAAGGTTTTCTTCTTTCACAACACTTGAATCAGGACTGAAAATGATGGCAGAGCTGTAGATTTGCAGTGGCCAGTGTGAAAAAGTCTGGTAGTGTCGCAATAAAAAACGCATAGCCTCCTGCACGAATGCTAAAGCTTGACAGTCATCCTTTTTCAACTTGATTAGTAAAGACGCAGACGTCAGAGAAAGCATTGAGAACTCACTTTGAATACTTCTTCCAGTGCTCTCAACGCGTCAAAGGCCTTTGGTAGCCTGTCCAACAGACTTAGGCATTCTAGCCATTCCAACAACTTTGTGTGTAGGAATACGTTAACTTCTCTCTTGTCGCCGTCGTTGCTTGTGTTCTTTAGATGTGACACCCAGAACATAGCTGCGTAGTCTACGCGAGACAGTATGCCATGCTTTGGTCCATTTTGTAGAGCTTTTAAAGAGTCTCTGGTGGCATCAGGCCGCGGCAAGTCCACAAGGTTGGGCTTGAGACATTCTGATAAATAGGACAGACAGGCGAGGAGGATTTCTTCATGTCCGAAGCGTCCATGAGAGTCGAGTATAGACAGGCCATTCTCTCCGGCCAAGAAGTCTCTCGCTGACTGATGAACAAACTCGATGTTGTCTTCGCGCAACCGGATGAAAGAAGCACAGCAATCGACTAATGCTCTAATGGCGTCCTCTTCATCGGTTAGGCCGATCACGCTAGCGACTTCCTCCACTTTCAGAGGCCGGTATACCGTCATCATGGCCTTGAGCAGCCGCATACACTTCTGTACTTCAACCAGTTCACCTTCGTTGAGCTGGTTCAATACCTGATTATAAAACGGATGCAAACCAGGCGGCAAGCTTTGAACTGTGGACAAAGCGTCATCTCGGCAGACACTCTCAAGCGCCTTGCATACCAAGCTTACCCATAGGAAGGTACCTTCCGATCTTTCTGTAAGCTCAGTCTCTATTTCGCTCTTCAGGGCCGTTCCATATTTGTGCTGGCGACTAAGCTCCTCCACCTTAGAAGTGATATAAGCCTCCACTGCCCCAGAAACAGATTGGGAATTGTGTTCCCCATCCAGATTAATCTGCACCTGGTCCTGACCAGCTAATAATACCCGCTCTGCGCCGTCCCATGGTCGGCTTGTCAACATCCACTTGATCTTACCGGGATGATCCAGTCCCTTTCGCACGATGGATTTGAGAAAGTCAACCACGTCGTCATCCTGACATTCATCAAGCGCGTCGACAACCATATAGACCCTAGAGTACTTGCACCGGGCCAACATCTCGAAAAGAATGTTCCACAACGAATGCCACGAGGTTACATCCTCGCTGAAAGACTCCTGTATGGTGTCCCACCGGCGACGGAGCGATTCTTTCAGCTCCGTCCGCTGATTCGCCAGCTGCAGAATCAAGCCCTTGAGAATGGCTTCCAGTGTGTTGAGCTCGTAGTCGGCATTCTGGCAGAAAGAATAAATTACCACGGTGGATTCATCCTGCACCCGGGCGAGCTGCTCGATTAGACCGATTGACAACATGGTCTTCCCCTTTCCAGCGCCTCCCTTGAGCCAAAGCAGGCCGACGTCGTCCCCATTCTCCCAATCTTTGTACTGTGGGTCTTCAAGAATCCACTGGATGGACTGGTTAACCAGCCTGTCCTTGCTCTCTTTCAGACGATTTTTCACAGCCAGGGAGTCCGGGCAGCGCAGAGCATGGAGGCAGATTCGATCGATGTCTTCGGTGGTGTACGCTAGAAACAGCGTTCAGCCTCCCTAATTCAACTAGAAATCACAATGAAAATTACCCCGTGCCACATGGAACTCTGCTGTAATGGAACCAGAATTGTTTCCAATCTGGAGGCCATGATTTGTCGCATTAAAAGCAGTGGGTGTGGCCATCATCATAGCATTTACTGATGCAAGATTGTGCGGGAAGGACGCTGCGAGTTCGGCCAGCTGAATGAGCACCTGCTTTCAATTACACAACTAGGGATGTGGGATGTCAGGTGATGTGTTATTTTGCAAAAGCACAGTACAGTTACAAGAAAAGAATTTGGAAATTCTGCACAGCCCACCTGCAGCTGAAAAAGCAAACGGGAATCACAATCTAATCCTTTACCAAGGATGTGGGCGTTGCTGAAGAGTGATTGGTTGGTTGGCATAGCTAATGCAGGCATCGCTTCCGAATCACTTATTAGTTCCTATTAGAAACGGGAGAGGAAGAATAATTTATAAATTAATTGCACACGGGGCTCTTGGCACGCCCGCCACTCCCTCCCTCCTCCTTAATCGAACTTGCTTCCCCTCTTTCCCAAGCCAATAGCCCCTTCAACCTTGCCTCCGGAACTGATTTACAAGCTCTCTACACAGCGGCACTGATCACTGTTGTTGCGCATCGAATCGGTCCAGAGTTAATCCTCTGTGAGGTACCAACCGAAAATTACGACGACGAAACCTTTGGGCCTCTGAAAATGGCGTACCCCTACGCTAATTGCGGCCGCGAGGGCTGACTTATGTTCTAGTAGAGGAGTTATCTAAGTATCTCGCCAGGGCCTTACAGCGCCCCCCATCCACTATTACCCAGGTTGAGGTTCACAGTTTTGATTACGGGGTATTCGGCGACGAGGAACTCTATTAGTTTAGTCACGGCGGCTTTGCTGGTTGTGTATGCACTCAGTCTGATGCCGGTACTTTGGGTTGAGACTGAGGTTAGGTTGATGGTTGTTCAGGATTCATCAGGAGAGGAGGAGGCTCCGATGGCTTTGAGGAAGGTTTTGGGAGACGATCAGAACGCCTTTGAAATAGATTTCCTATATTCTCATCGTTAGCAGGGCGTACGCATGCTACCACGGTACGGATATACTAAACAACCGGGAGAGGGAAGCATTAGAACTCCGAACCCTGGACAGTCCAAAACGACTCGACAGTACACCCGCCATACGTCTCATTAACAAGATATCCAGCGTTATTAACAAAAACATGTGCAACACCGCACTTGTCCACAATTGTCTCAAAGGCAGCAGTTACCCCGGCTTCATCTCGCACATCGGCGATCAGGGAAAGGACCGTCGTCTCAGGGCTTATCTCCCTGACCTGCATTTTCGTCTCGGCCAGTGCGTCGGCAAAGCGTCCGCGGCTGGTTTAGCCGGCGCGAACGCAACCACAAATCCCTGTTCTCCTGCAATTAGGGCATGATCTATCCTTATCACATTAAGGATTTTTTCAAGCTGATCTATGGCTAATAGTTGGCTGAACTGGCCGCTCCCAAACAAACAGCTTGATCAAACCAAATCACTCTTGATCGCATTGATAACACATGTATGGCAATATCTACTTTTCAACCGGATGCACAAAACCTTGCCAACAAACCTCCTATCACCCATAGGGATAAGTATCCTCACTCCAGCATGTTGGATGTCGGAGTCACGAGTAACTATCATGTTGGACCACAGCTCAGAAACCCAGCACCGGTCTCTCACCCTTCCATCCCTCCAGCCCATACCACAACTACCATAAATCCATTTCTCAAACCAGCTCCCCCACCCCCAGGCTCAAAGATTATCAAGCTCAACCCTCGACAACCTTAACCTGCAGAATATACGGATCCTGGGTATTGAAATTGACTGTGTGCACCCCGCGCGTGAAGACAGTGAGGTAATACTCGTCCGTCGAGTCGTAAAACACGTACGTGCTGCCGAAGGACCCCTGTACCTCGGCCACGTTGATGTCCAGCTGGTACGTGTAGATGATTCCGTCCGCCTTGGTGAACCGATACTTGTCGATGCCGGTCTCGCGCGCGAACACTGTGTCGGTCGCCACCCAGGTGCCGGCCACGGGCCAGCCGGCGTTGTAAGTGCCGGATTTGGCGGCGCTGATGAGTTGGAGGAGGCTTAGGAAAAGGAGGAGGATGTTCATTTTGGCTTCTTTGGTAATATCCTTTGGTTTAGTGGTTGTTTGGTTGCAGTGACGCACTGAGGGAGGAGATGATAGTTGTTTGTGGAAAGTGCAGTTGGGAAATAGCCTGTGAGGAGGTTTATATCCTTCTTCGACGCGGTTGTCGAACAGTATAGCAGGCAGGGTGAATGTCACTATTACGTGATGTCTACCTCAGCAGGACTCAGCCCTTAGCATCTCACTGCTGCTTCCGGATGACTTCGCAGCTGATGCACGCTTCATCACATCACAGGGTCTCATTTCAGCTCGACAGCATGCACCTTGTCCATGAGGACCTGCTCAGCCGGTCTGGACCCTGCGATTCTCCTCATCGCAAGCAGGAATGCCTTTCTCGATCGGTCAATCTGCAAAGTACACAGAAACCGAGCTATGGTAAACGGCACCGCTACCCTGAATAACCTGCTCCAAATGTGATAGCAATCTCCAATATAGGTCAGTGCAGGCACTGCTGATCCCCCGATCGCCGCTCCGATCGACGCGCTCATCTGAGGATCGGCGGGGCGTTCCTCGCCGAGCGCGCGGTATTGGTCGAGGCTGAGGCTGCATTGCAGCTCAGCTGTGCAATGCAGGCTGATTGATTGTTCTCTGAGACATCGGTATCATCGTCACATCATTGCAGTATGATCATAGAAAGAGCGGTGCCAGAAAGCTGAAATGAAGGGATGTCCGGGGTTTCTCCCCAGGAGTTGCTTATTACGGTTCTATAGTGTAGATTTGGTGGGGTCCGCGCTAGCCCGAGTGCACGAATGGCTTCTACTGGCTGCGACACATAGAATCATTGGACAATCAAGATGAAAGAGGGGTTGTTCAGGTTTCGGACGAGTGTTACCGGAGGGGTGACGGGGCCATGGAGCTGAGTGCTGGCAGGGCAGGCCAATCCTGAATGCCCTGTGGTTTGTGGCGGGTCGGATCGAGCCTGCCGGGAAGAGGGGAAGAAACGATATGGGCTCATCACCGCTTTTTCCATCATTGACTTGCAGACTTATAAAATTAGGGTAAATTAGCCAATATTGCTCTCACTCACATTCACAAGAACAATCAAGAGAGCAAACAAACAGGTCTATCAGCAATCCCTGCTGCAGCGGCTGACGTAGAGATTGAAGAGAGACGCAGCCGAGGTTGGCTTCGGAGCTAATACCTCCTACGTTCTAGCGGTCATAGTCTGGACCAGCGTGGATTTATTAAAGGTTTGACGAGAGCTGAAAGAAGGAAAGCTGAAGAGCAACCTGTCGTTGGATAGTAACTATTGAACTTTCAAAGCAATGACTCCGACTACAGTGCTATTCACAACGTTGATTGTTGTTTTGTCCTGTGCTGTGCATCTGCTTTATGAACTTGATATTATGAGCTGAGAGCAAGTTTTCAATCAGGTTGGTGTCTGTTCGAAGGCAGGATTTTACTTACTACCTGCTCTGCGTGGATAAAAAGATGTAGAAATTTTAGGACGTCTTGCAGATCAAGCGTAGTAGTATGCATCTCCATCAAACAGAATCAGTGAAGCTCCCAAAGTAATTGTTGACCCACTCAGCTGCTTGCACCCCGTCGTAACAACTCCAGCCCGCCGCAGCCCCGATATACCCGTCTGGTCTCACGATCATCACCGCCGTCCCTGAAGCACCAGTCTTGCCCAACCACCGGCTCGTGCATCCGCCCCTCTCCTCACCCGCTTCATCTAGGTACACGGTCCAGCGACTCTGCTTCAGCACCTCAGGCAGATCCTCTATCTCGAAACTCTCCCGTGGGCCTCGAGTCACCAGGGCGAACGTCGCCACCTGCGACACCGGAGTATACCTCGCGTGGCCCAGATACACATCGTCTGGCGCCTGCTTCCGCTCCCTGCGCGCATAGCTCTCATTAGCCTTTTGCGTCATCGTAGCTAGCACACTCCCATCATTCATAACTCTCTCGCAAAACTCTTCGAGGAAATTACTCTCTGCCTGTACATCCGGGACAACAAGATATACTCGGAACTGACCCAGAAGTGGAATATCCAACTGCACCGCCACGGGGTTCGCATCGATAAATCTCGTGACCAGACAAGGCGGGAGTAGAGAGCCTGGCCTCACCCATCCTAGCTTTTCGTCTGCCTCTTCCCAGACGTTACTGCCGTGAGCGTGTCCATTCTGGACTCCTTTATCCTCCCACGCCCAGGTGAGCACGTCCTCGGGAAGATACTCCGCCCCAAACCCGGCGATGAACCGGATGTTCTCGTCGAAGTTCCGCGTCAGCGCGGCCTCGCCCTGTTCAAACGCCGCCACGTGGCTGGCATCGAAGGCGATCAGGTCGTTCGCGATCTTGCGACGCTCGACGGAGTAGCTCGACAGGAGGGTGTTGGTGGCTAGGCCGCGGGAGTGCAGGTTGATCTTCCAGGCGAGGTTGAGCGAGTCATGCATGCTGGTGTTGGCGCCTTGGGCGGCCAGAGCGGAGTGGACGTGGCCGGCCTGACGATCGTCAACACATGCTCAGTTAAAGTTAGGGGTGAGAAACGCACATCACCGGCGATGAAGATGCGATTGCTTGGGTCGGAAAAGTGGCGTGCCACGCGCTGGTTGACGATATAATTCCCGAACCATTCTGTCTCTCGTCAGCGTCAGATGATACTTGAGGCAGACGGTCATACCAATGTTTTTCCACTCGAGGGAAAACGGTTTCATCGCCTCGCGCGCCCTAGCCATGGCATACTCCGGGGTCGCCATCGACTTAGGCACCCGCTCACCATCTATGGCACTCAACTCAACGTATAAGCGGGTCATGTTCCGCTCCCGGGGAATCCAGAGGATCGACCCGGCTGTGTGGGAACGGACGGCGACTTTGCTCCAGAGGTCAGGGAAGGTGGTTTCAATCTCGCCTATCGCCATATCAGCCATGACTGTCCGGTTGCGGCAACAAAGCTCCAAGCAGAGATAAAACGCAACCACAGGGTTCCGAGGGAGTGGCCTCATACCATCCAACACCCCCCACGAAGCATTCGTCTTCTCGCCCTCCAACTGCGCATCGGGAATGAAGTCCCGCACTTTCGACCGGGCGCCATCGCACCCAACCAGGTATTTCCCGTACACGGACCCCACATCGCCCGTCGTCAGGTCCCTGTATGTGACTTTGAGATCGCCCGCCTCGTCCTTCTCGACGCCTACGAATTCACTGTTCCGCGATATGGATCCACCCCGGCTTTCGATATCCTTGATGAAGATACTCTCTAGCATGCCCTGATGGGCGAGGAGGATGTATGGATCGGGCGCGCCGACCAGGTGGTCCGGGTAGTGGGTTTTACGGCCGGTGCGGCGGAGGGGCTGCGTTGGGGTGGAGTCCTTTCAAGATGATGTGAGTACTTGTTCTGTAAGGGGACAATGATGCGAGTAAAGAAGCAGGGATTAGAATACGAAGGGGCGATACCCAGAACGCGATGTCGTAAACTTTGGCCCCGTGTCGCAGTAACGGGTCGGCCAGACGCAGCTGCTTCAGCGTCTCGATCGTCTTTGGTTGCAGACCATCTGCTTTGCCTGTGGAAGTTTTATCGGGGCGGTCATCGAGAAGGATAATCGGAGTGCCGTAGCGCAGGAGGTTGCATCTGCAATCTGGTAGGTTAGGTCGTGCGCAGATGGGGAGGATGTGAGGGGAATTGAAGATGGGGGAGGAGAAAGAGGGGAAGAAGGAACAACGGGCACAAACGCCAGCATCAGTCCCGACGGACCAGCGCCCACTATCACTACCGTTGTCGATTCAGGAGGCGTCATCTTGTCGCTACTCTGCATTCTACTTGGAATAGCAGCTTCGGAACTGGAAACAAGAAATAGTTCATCGAGTTGGTTGCGAGCTGCTGTTTTGACACTCGGAGCGCAAGCCGACCCCCACCTTTGTTGTTGCGATCACGATAGCGACCGACCGCGATAAGCAACCCCCCGATCAGTCGGACTATTACCCTACGGTATAATCGTTAGACTACCACTTGGTTACTCCCCCATCCACCACCACATCCTGCCCCGTCATGTAAGAGCTAGCATCACTGGCTAGGAACACGCACGCCCCCATGATATCCTCCGGCTCGGCAATGCGCCCGTTCATCGCGTCGCCTTTCCACTCTTCGACCAGATGCGAGAACTGGCCCGGTCAGCTTACTGTCATTCTTATCAGAGACTAGACCTACCGCAGCCGTCATTTCCGTGCGCACATATCCCGGCGAAATTGAATTGACGCGGATGTTCTGCCATCGTCAACTCCCACCCCCTATCCAACAGTCCTGCGGAGGAAACTCACGTATTGGGCCATCTCCTTGGCAATCGCCGGACACATCGCCCTCACGGCTCCCTTGCTCCCGCAGTACGCACTGCACAGCTGAGAACGCACGGCAACGTGGCTCGCCATGCTGGCCACCAGGACAATGCTCCCCTTCTGTGTCCCATTGGCGATCATCTGCCGGGCCGCGCGTTGGGCCGTCATGTACACGCCCAACACGTTGACCCCGAGCAGCGCGGCGTGGTCGGCGTATGTGAACTCCAGGAAGGGCTGGTGAATGTTGATACCCGCGCAGGGAACGCAGATGTCGAGAGCGTTTTTGAAGTCGGCTTGGAAGGCTTTGAAGCCGGCGTCGAGCGATTCTTCGGAGGAGACATCCACCCTAGATAGTCAGCTTAGACGACCGTCGCCATAGAGAATAGGAAATCATACTTGTAATAGGCCGTGCGCACGCCGCACTCGGTCGCGATAGCTTCAAAACCTGCCTCCGGGGAAATGACGTCGAAGATGGCCACATCGGCACCTGCTTCTGCAAGGCCTCTGGCAAACGCGAGCCCGCACCCACGAGCTGCACCGGTCACGAGCGCAGTTCGACCTTGGAGAGAGAACTGATCGGTTAGCAGGCGTAGCAGGAATCTCAGTGCCAACTTACTCGAGACATGGTGATGGTATGATGTTGTTTGACCCGGACAGTTGACCGGTTGACTTGGATGAGGTTATAAATAGGCTCGATAAGAGCGTCGACCGCGATTGTGGCTTTACCCCCATTCTTGTCACCTCCCCCCATTTAATGTCAAGGTATAATTGCGGCACGCCATCTGACCCCAAGAAGCACGAGCAATCGACCCAATCTTCACAACATTCAAGCACCACCATGGCACCTCCAATCCATGTCAAAGAGCCACAGACCCGACCGGAATCATGTCGTCTGAATGTAAGGCCCCCCTCGTATTCCCTCACACATCTTGAAGTGCATCGACTAACAGCCGCCAACCAGATTATCATCATCGGCGCTGGACTGGCCGGTTTGGGCACCGCGATCGGCTGCGCTCTAGCCGGACACAAAGTACAGCTTCTCGAAGCGACCTCCTCGATCCGAGAAGTTGGAGCTGGCATCCAAGTTCTGCCGAACAGCTCTCGAGTGCTCACGCATTTTGGGTTGCTGCCGCGCCTGACCCCGCATATGACCTTCCCCCGCGTCTGTAACTTCTTAGGATGGAAAGGCGATCTGATCAGTAGCCTCGACTTCCACGCCTCCGAATCCCAGTATCCCGGGACGTGGTATCGCGATTTCCATCGGGCGGATCTGCAGCGGTGTTTACTGGAGAGGGCGGAGGAACTCGGGGTTGAGGTTACGTGCGGGGCGAGGGTGGTAGATGTCGTCCCGGAGAAAGACGGGCCAAACACTGCCACTGCCGTCGCTCCAGATGGTCGGGAATGGGTGGGTGACTTGGTGGTCAGCGCGGACGGAGTGTTCGGGACTCTGAGCGAGAAGATGCTGCAGCGCGATGACCCCCCTGTGAAGACCGGGGATCTGGCGTATCGCTTGCTGTTGGATACGGAGAAGATGCTGCAAGATGACGAGCTGCGGGAGTTTGTTGTCGATCCTCAGGTGAATTATTGGTTGGGGCCGGGGAAGCATGCTGGTAGGTGTCTCGCTTTAAATACACGTGCGTGGAGAATAGCTAATGGCCCAAGTCAACTATGTTCTCCGTCAAGGCGAGCTGTTCAATATGGTTCTACTCGTGCCAGATGATATCCCCGAAGAATCACTGGCTACCACGGTCGAGGGAAACGTGGAGGAAATGTGCGGCCTATTTGAGGGCTGGGACCAGAGGTGAGTCAACTCGATTCCATGGCAACAGGGTTTGTGCTGAGGAACAGGATTCAAAAACTCCTAAAATTGTGCCAGTCTGTCCAGAAATGGCGACTGTGTATCCGCTTCGGAGACTGTGACTGGACGCATCCCTCAGGGTCGTGGCTGATGCTTGGCGATGCGGTGCATGCCACCCTACCATATTTAGCATCGGGGTAGGTCGTCTGCCTTGATGCAAGGACCAGGCTAATATCTGCAGGGCTGGAATGGCTTTTGAGGATGCTGCTGTGCTGGGCGAGTGCCTGTCGCGTCTACCGTCCGATCCTTCTATCGACAAATCCTCTCCGGCGTTACCGAAAGCGAAACGCCATGCTCTGGCGGTGTTTGAAAAATGCCGCAAGCAGAGGACGAAGATGGTAGTGGAGCGAGGAAATGTGCAGCAGTATTTGTATCACTTGGAGGATGGCCCCGAGCAAGAGGAACGCGACAGGAAGATGCGGATGGTGCCCACGCCGGCAGGAGAGGCTCTGGCCTGGAGAGATCCAGGATTGGCGCCAAAGCTGTTGGGCTATGACCATATTGCGGATGTGAGTTATCATTGGGTTAGTAGGATGAGAACATGAACTGACCGGCGTAGGTGGACCAATATTGGACTCTAGAAGAGAACGATGGGCGTGAAGCGCGACTATAATTGCGAGATGCTAATTAAGTCGTAGAACAGTGCGCGATATATATCACTAGTAGAAGATGGAGTTCAAACCCTGATGTTTCTGATGAGTATATACGAGGAGAAGACCATGGATCGAAGACTAGTTAGTGTAATAAGTGAAATATGTTGATATTTCAAGTCATATTAATTCAGGTTTCAGAGAACAATGATGAAACAAACGCAAAATATTTAATCGTGTATACCAAAGTAGGGTCATCCATCTAGGAGACCAGCCATACAAAAGAAATCCCAAAAGAGTGTCATGAATAGAAGACAAGAGGTCAGACAAAAGGAAGGTAGGTAAAAAGTGTGAGTTCACGATCCTCCCATCCCATACTATACATGTGTTGGTCCCAATCGGAAAAATCCGTGAGTCGCGTTGTGCAAGCCTGACTACCTCAGGCCGCATGTCCGAGGTCCCCCCTTCCACCTTCGACTTTCCCACTCACAGTTCACTCTAGACAGGAAACTTCACTCCTGTCCGATCAGTGCAGCGAGGCTGCGATAGAACCCGAGGCAAGGCTCTGGCTTTGGGGTCCTGATTGAACCGAAGCCGATCCCTCTTCAAGCTGAACAGCTTGACCATGGCCCCCATCGCCTGCTCCTCACTCAACTGGAGCTTGCCCAGCTCCTTATCCCCGATGTCCTCCAAGGACAGGTCCTTGACACACGCAGCCACCATCCATCGGGCCAGTACCTCGATATCTCGCGCGTTGCTCCAACACGGGAACATGGACAGAATCTGGACGGCCCGAGTGAACTCGCGGTGGCTCGGAGTACGAGGGTCGGTCAGGAAAAGTCGCGGCCCGGGGATCTTTTGCTCCATCAACCGCCGATCTAGCAGTCGCAGACATTCCCTGGGAGTTGGGTTCCGGAAAATAATCTCCTCTTGAAACAAGGCAGCAAGAAGGGGTCGATTGGCAAGCATCTGGTCCATCTCTTGGGCTGGTCCCGCCAGAATCACCACGGTCTGATCCAGATACCGAGGAAGTTGGTAGACGAGCTCATCCACCGCATGTTTGGTAGGGCCCTCGGTCTCGCCCAGGCGATGCGCGTCTTCGATGAACAGAACCCGACCGCGGCTACGGTCGAGTTGCGCCCTCGCGCGAATCGCTGTGGGATACATATGCGGGGCTAGCAGGTCGACAATCGAACAGGGGACTAGTTCCCCATGAGACAACACCCCCATCTTGTAATAGAGAGTGCCAAGCTCGCGGGCAACACGTTTCTTCCCAGTTCCTGTGAATGTGGTTAGGACTCTCATTGAATAAAAGCTAAGGAGGATACTCACCAGATGCTCCCTTGAACACAAATGCGCGAGGCATCCGCTGGCCCGGGCTCAGCCCTTGCATCCAAGCGATCTTCATCTCATGATGATAACGCTTCAAGACAGAGATTATGTCGTCTGGGACGATCGAGTGGCGCAGTTCCTCACGGAAACCCAACGCGGGTGTTCCACCGACCAGCTCGGGGTTGAAGTCTCTCCCCTCAAGGATCCGAGGAACCGACTCGCCCTTCGCGCCGACGCAGGCCCGGCGCTCAAAGTGATACTGCGCCGCAACCAGAAGGTGCTCGACGGCACGAGCATGGTCAAAATCCTGGCGCATGCGAGCCGTATCAAGCATGTCCAAGGCAGCTTGAAAGGCGTCAGGGGTGACGTCCAAGTCCCGCTCTCGGAGCTTACTGTGGAAGAGCTCCTCGATGTGGTCGCGCGTAAGAGGAGCAAAGCGAACCAATTGGTTGTCCAGGTCACGGTTTAGGCGGGAGTGCGTCCCTGTCTGATGAAGGACGTGACTGACCGCATCGTGCGTGCCGACGACGACGGTACAATGATTGTCCCGCGGTGTCCACAGAACTTCCAGGCCAGTCATGTCCAGCACAGTCTGGCTCTGGAAGGAGTCCTGACGATCGGAGTCGATATCGATGACGAGAACATTACCATTGTTGCTCTCGACAAGATCACGGATGCTGTCTGGGTCGAGCTTCGATAGAGCCGACCACGGTTTAACTCGGACTGCGGCATGTTAGCAGTTTTCATTTGCAATAGCTATAGCTGACTTACCCTCTCCGTTCGTCAACAGGCCCAACTCAAGCAAAATCTGCGCATACAATCGCACCGCCGTGCTCTTGCCGGTTCCTGGTGGCCCGGCGAACACGCGGTTCAATCTGAGAGGCAGACGACGCTGATTGCGAATCTCGCGATAGTAATTCTCCTCAGCGAGATCGAAAATTTCAGCAACGGACGCTTGCAGGGAATCCTGCCCGACAAGTTTGTTCATGGCCGCCAATGCGTCGCTGGAGGCGCGTGTCTGCTCCGGTCTTGGCCCAAGCAGGTCGTCCTTGGAGAAGAAGAAATAATCTACCTCATCCATGCCACTGTCTTGCTGGCCAGCCAGGCAGTGAGACTGGCGCTGTGCAACCGTTTTGACCAGCTCGCGTACAGCGTGGGCGTTCGTAAAGCCCGACACGGCGCGCCCGCGCGCCAACCGTCGAGCGGCAGCTTGAATGTAAGGACCCTCGAGCCCGCCTTCAACCTGCATGCGACCCTGATATTCAATTACAATGCGACGGGCGAGAAGTTGAGCGAGGTCGTTACGGTCAAAGTCATAGAATCGCAATGTGCTGCAGATGCGTTGCTGTAGGCGCGGATGATCGCGCAGAAAAGCTGTTAGTGGCGTCTCCTCGCCAGAGAAGATCACTACTATGCGCCCAGTTTTGCGCTCCAAGGCCTGCAACACACTCGCAATGACCTGCTCCGTTGCATGGGATGAGAGAGTCTCTCGCAGCATGTGCGGCTGGTCGACGATGAGAACACCTGCTGTGTGAACTGGTGAATTTGTATGGGCGACCCGGTCGATCATCTGTTTGAAATTGTCTGGGCCTTGGTCGGCTAGATCAATGCCACTGGTTTCGCAGATGGTCTGCGAGTCACAAATACCCAAGGCATATAGCATCTTGGCGTATATGCGCGCAACAGTGGTTTTACCTGATGCAATCAGTGAAGGTTCGTGCAGTCAACGGGAAAGTCACTCACCAGTGCCTGGATTTCCTACACAGGCCATATTGTACCACTCATTCTTGGGGTCGCGACCGTGTCGCCGGCATATCTGCACCCAAGTCTGCACACCACGCAACTGGCGCTTGACGTTCTCATGACCGACGAGACTGTCCAGCTCATCAAGAGCCTCCTGTCGCGCCGTCTCCCGATCCTGGTGGTCGCGTTCTGCCAGCTCCTCGAGGGTTTGCTGGGGATGTTCGACAATGACGGGTGTTTCCGGGGGAGAGGGCGGAAGCTGAGTTTGTGTTGGTGTCGTGGTTTGAATCTGAAGCTGCGGTCGCGTCTTTGTTCGTTGGGGAGATTGTGTCTGTGGTTGCGTCGATACTGACTGCTGTGGCTTCTTTGACCACAGCGAAAATGGGAAAAAAGGAAAACGAGATGTCGCCGCTGGGCGAGTCATTGCGCAGTCCATGCTGCGCAAAGGCTTGAGTAGTGGTGATAGCAGTTTCACGACTATCGGAAGCATATGGAGGATATCAAAGGATCACAGGTTCGGATCATTTAACAGTCAGTCAGTTCTGTGTGTAGGAGAATTGTCTATGGGGACTGCCGGCCGTCAGTCGTGGTTATTTAACTCTGACCAGCTCTCGCTGGGCAGCTAAAATCGCCGAAGTGAAGCCACAGGCCATCGTTGCCAGCATTGAGTTTGAAGGCCTATGACAAGGCGACAGGTAGTGAGTCAGTGGTTAGTTCTTTTCCCCGGTTGATGGTCAAAGTGAAGCCATACATTCACCGCCACTTCAGCCCAACATGACGAGGGCCGGACGAGGGCCGCACTGTCAAAACGAATCCATCGAGCCACCAGACAGTCTACGGAGATGACACAACCCCAAGAGGCAGCCATACGAAGCGATCTCTGTGCTCTGAAACACGGGCCCAGATGAAACAGCAGGGCAGGGACCAGGAGGCGGCCTGTTAGGGACATGACTTGGAGGGGATGTCTGGAGATGCACCAAAACCGCCGGGCCGCATTAGGCGCATGGGTTGACCTGGCTTGGCTGCGCTGGGCCTATCAAAACCGGCAAGGTGGCTGCCGATCATGCCTCCGGGGAACTCACCTCGGCCAACCTTGAACTTACTGTCCTGTGCCTCTTGATGTGGCTCGTCTCATGAGGCTTGCTCGATGAATGCTGAGAGTAGTCATCATTAGTGCCGCCAACCAGGTAAAAGCTCGCGTGGCATTAATCCACGATATGCACAGCATGATCTGGACTCGTTCCCTGTTTTCTTCACCTTCTCCCTCTCCGATATCGATAAAGACACTGCACTGCCCCCGCCTCACCGATCGTGATGGCGTGCTTTGATACAGGGCTCGCATTCTACACACAAGACTCACTGCCTCATCCGCGACTCTGAACAACACTACAGCAGTGGATCTTTCATGCCAGAGCTACCCCGTAGCTTTCTGGTGCCTCAACGGCCTGATTGGGCTGTTCCTGGATTGGGGCTCCTGACTTTCCAGCGGAGCCTAACTCCCCAGCCGGCGGTCGCATCGTCTGGCGCGGATAATACCGTATACCCATTCAGTCAGGGGCGTTCTCGGGGAAGCTATGGTAAAAATAGCCGCGTCTGTCATCGACTGGGCGTGTTAATTCTGCTTGGTCGCTTCGCTGGAGCTGGAAAGTTGCTATGACGTCAACGCCAAGACCGCTTGATCGGTCGCATCGCCGAAGTACAGTACTTTCTACACGTCTATGCATAAGCATCGACCAATGCAACCTTCCATCATGATCCTCTCGCTATTATCCAGGCTGACCCCAGCATACTGTCCTTCCAATCTGGAAAGGGGAAATCAGGCACTTCAAAGTTTGTTCTGTCTGTGGGTATTACGGGCAGCCTTCTGCTTGGCAAGATATTACTACATGAAACGCTACTGAATTATATACAGCCACCTAATTGAAGACCGCATCGACCGCCTTGTGCAGATATTTGGACGGCCCCGAGCGCTCCGTCTTGGTCTCGACATCATGCCCGTCGACGTAGAACCGCCTGGGCGCATCCAAATCGATCGTGCGCGCATCAACCCACCAGGGACCGCGATAGTAGCACCGCGCGGCGAGGTACAGCACCACGATGGCAACAACGGAGACGTAGTTGGCGAAGAAGTCCTTGGCATTGGGGTTGCCGTGCAGCGGCCACAGGCTGAGGTAGAACTCAGCAATGATCAGGAGGACGCACCAAAACAGGCCCCAGATGGCGCCGTAGGGGTACGTCCACGATTTCCAAGGGAGATCTTGGACGGACCGGCCCTGAACCTTCCACGCGTACCGCATGCGCAGGTGCGACAGGCAGATTGTGCCCCATCCGAACAGCGTGAACAGCGACGTCAGGCTTGAGAACCACGTAAATACTTCAGCGCCTGAGTTGCTTACGTTCAGGTACGCGAGGCCGCCGCCGATGAGGAGCGTGATGGCTAGGCCCGCGATCGGGCGGCCTTGTTTGTCGGCCTTGCCGAAGATCTGGTCGGGCGAAACAGATGGATTGTGTCAGCCGCGGTGCGAAAGATTGACTGTGAAGGCAGGGAGAGAGGACCAACCTTAGGGGCCATGTTAAGGTGTGTCAGGCCCATCAATGTGCGGGAGCCACCATATGCGGAGATACTACCGGTTGATAGCACCGACACGAAGATGACGGCGTTCATAATGTGAGCCAACGGAGCCAGGCCAGCGTTGCGGTATGCGATGACGAACGGCGAAGCGTTGACTCCTGTTCCACCGAACAGATTCTCATCAGTTGGCGACACTGTGATGGTCACCATCAGTGAGCCAAGAATGTAGAAAAGAGACAGGCGCAGCCAGATGGACCCGACGGCACGGGGAACAGCCTTGCGTGGGTTGTCGGTTTCCGCTGCGACAAGAGCAGCATTCTCTGACCCGGACATGGCGAAGATGCAGGTTGGCATCACCGACAGAAAGCCCTTGAAGCCGTTGGTGAATGGCATGGAGTTCCAGTAACGGAACCCGATAGGACCTTCGTTAGGGGCACCGCCAGCAGAGATGACTAGTAGAGTAAGTGATGAGCCGAACCGTCGAATGCTATGCAACATACCGATACACGAAATGATCACCACGAAGATCCACCCGAACTTGATGCTCGAGGCGGCAACCTCCACCTCACCAAAGAACTTCACCGCCACTATGTTGACGAGGATAACCACCACCCAGAAGATGGAGATCCAAGCCGCAGTGGGGACTTTGTCCGTCCAGAAGCTGAGCACGGTGACAACACCCTGTTCAATCAGCGATCGACTCCTCTGCCCAAGCTAGAAGAACATACCTGCAGCTCGTTGGCGATCGTGATCCAGTAGGAGAACCAGTACGCCCAACCGAGACAAAAGGCCATTGACCGATCAATGAAGATCGAAGTCCACTGGGTGAACGCGGAGGGCAAAGGATACATGACGGCCATCTCTCCGATGGAGTGACTGACCGACCAAATCATCGTCCCACTCAGCAGGTATCCGATAAACATCGCTGCCGGCCCGCCATTTGCAAGCGAGGTACCACTTCCCAGCCATAACCCCATTCCAATGGATGAGCCCAGCGCAATCATGGTCAAGTGTCGTGTCGATAACGAGCGGTGCAGATCGGTTTCGGCTCCATAGTCGATGTCAGGCGAGGCCCAACCGGCAGTGGGCTCGAGATGCTTCTCCTTGGAGCTGGAGGTCTCGTAGGCCGGTGCGCTACTGCCGTCGTCCATCGTGTATAGTTTCAATGGAAAAGAGGAGGGTGTTTGCGATAGGGAACTGAGAACGGAGGTAGGAAAGAAGCAGCGCGTATGATACCGTGCGGAAAGCGGGAGACTATTATAAAATTCGCTCGTGGATGTCGTGCAACCAAGTGAGTTTAGACTGCAGGATTTGAGAATTCAAGTCAATAGAATGAGGTGCAAGGGGCGAAGTTTGCAGGACAGATAAGCCAAGGTCCCTCAGCCCACCAGTATAGTTCGCTATCTGGATGAAGGCGAGAAAGCTGATAAGGGATTTTACTGCTTCGCCAGTCACCTCGTGTTGTACTAGTGCCTCAGCATTCGCCCATCGGCCTGTCCGCTGCGAGAAAGACCAGCGAGCTCTTCCAGAAGGCAGACAAGAGCGATGATCCCTGCGATTGGAACTGATAACCACCGTGGCGATCGTCCAATAAGCAATTCCACACTATCAGAAGGTGCAGGGCCTGTGCCACTCATTCAATGGCTGGCTTGGCCACCGAACAAACAGGAGGCAGTTGTTATCGGCTCCAAACAAGACCGGCTCGTGTCGCCATCCCTTTATCATCCGGGGAATGTTACATCCACTCGAACGGGCTGGGCCAAGTTAGACAGATGATCCTGGCGGCCAGTCCGGATGGCCACCCGGATGCGGCCATCTCAGCCGTCAAAGGATGCACCCTCACGTTGTGCTCGCGTGGTGTAAAGTCAATATCGTTGGTGGCGCCAGTTCCATCCCTTGCAGGCAGAGAATGCAACGAGCATTCGTTGAGCACAACAATATTTGGATCGAGCCAGGCCAGTCCAAGCTCCCTCGTTCCAAGTGTCTCACCTGAGTAGAAAGGTCCGCATTGCGGAGTGCAGGAAGCACATCTCGTCAAGGTAAGAATAGGACAAAGGATGGGGGCCGGCGTGGGCCGAAGAGGAGTTTCGAGGGCTTATCGGAGGCCAAGCCCAATGCCTAGCCAGACTGTGGTGAATCTGACGCTGTGGTGCGAGTCTAACACACTGGTACTTTAAACTAGGACCATGCGACCCGCGAGATTAAGCTATCAGTCATGCTAGACCAATTGCAGCCAGCACCCAGTGTATGTGATCAGCGCCGGATTGGCGCGATAGCATCGCTCAGTTTACCCCGGAATGGCGTCAGGCCAGATAGACAATTCCCGGTTATTGCCGGAGCTTTGTTCGAGTAATATGCGAGTCAGCTCCTCGGCATGGCAATGCTTGATTGTCTTATCCCCCCTTTTTCTTTGGTTGTTGCACTGTGATGCCTTTGAAGCACAGCTCCCTTTCCGCAGCTAGTGGCGGCATAAGGCGATAAGACCAGGCATTCACATTATGTGCACCTATCCGCCAGATAGTGTCTCACCCTCGCTTCTGGTGGTACTGCACGTGGCGAACAGGTCACTCGTGCTTCTGCGCTGGTGAACTGGCCAGAGTCAAGTCTGCTGTCGTTTGTCGAAGACCAGCGATCGTCGAGGTAACCGCGCGGTCGGGATCTGGATCCTGGTCGGCGGGGAACTTCAATGCACTGCTCTTCCCACGGTCGCAAATCCGAACGAGCTCATCAGTGACCTTCTCATTTTGTTCCGCACCGAATCCGGAAGACAACGGAGCGGTCTGGGTCTTCGAATTGGTGGGTTTTAGGACCCCCGTCCAGATCCGGGCTGCCGATAGCATGACAGCCGGCCGAAGCCGGCATCACCATGTCATCCCCAGATTTTCCCCAGACTCAGCCCAGGTCTCACCTGCGAGCTCCCCACCAGTACATCCACGGGTCCGAGGTTTGCCTTCCCAACTCGAGCCAGTTCTCCCTTAATCCGAGCAGATGGAACAGAAGTCCATCTGGTGCCATCCCTTGCATTGAAGGCTAATGGTCTGAATGGCGTTCACCAACCCTCGCACATTCACCGCTCACTCGCCACTGGGAAAGGGATAAGAGTACACTTGTCAAGTACGACATGATTCGCAACTTCTGTAGATCTGTTGCTAGATTCTTCGACTCGGTTTGTGCAGATCACTGTATACCGGTACTCGTGCCACAAGGCCGGGCAACAGGGGCTTTCTGCTTCGCCGCTGTCTTGAGTAGTGCGTTCTTGTTGGTATACAGACAACCTAAATATCGGTAGGATCTGCGGAGAGAAGCGTCTGTCCGGCCCCAGGGCTAGCTATGGTTCGATATTGCCCCTCATGCTATGCACGCTTGAGATAGTGAGCGATATCCATGCAAGGAGCTCGGTGTATCACTAGATCCAAGTACTTGCTGCCGACAGATGGGACAACAAGCTTAGCTGAATGGAGCCGATGCCCCCCCAGACTTTCTACTGTTCTGTGTTGTGGGGCTTGACCCTGGGATGGTATTCACCCCTGTTGGCTTGTAGCGCTGGGTCCTTCGAACACTGTTACCAGTATCCCCAAGCACGTCGTCTTGCTCTCCACTATCACCCAAGCTTGGGTAGACTGTGTGGGGGATGTGCATGCCTTCGTGTCGTGCGTATAAGACCATCTACCACGCTTGTAGATGTTCCCCCCATGCCGTTTGTCCCTGCAATTCTCGATACGCGTCAACGGCACTTCACACAAACTTGAAAGGGACTATATTGCCGTCTATTGACGTCAAGTCCGATATAGTGATCAATCGCTCGTTCTGTGTTGTATGGACTGGTCCTCTCCGTGTTGACAGTCAGCCATTGCCCACTGTTTGCCACTGCATCTCCGAAGACTCACTGAAATTTCGCTCAGACAAATGTGTATATGAGCAAAGTCTGTGTGTCTGTGAAGCTACGCAGTTGAGGTGTGGAAAGGTGTACAAGAAAGCAGTAGCTACCCCGTCCCTGAGTCATGGACGAAGTACCTGAATTCGATGACAAGACGCTCTAGATCACTAGCGACGAGAGGTGGTAGGATGCATCATGGATGTGGATGCGCAGGTCTCATTTTGTGTCGGTGGAAAAAGCCGTCGCGGCGGAGAATTTATCGCAAAGTCTGCAGTGCTGAGTCTTGCGCAGTTGGAGAGCTCTAATGGATTGTATCACAGGATTGTTGGATACAATATCACTTTCAGAGAGTGCCAATGCAGCGAACTAGGGGTAAGTATGGGTTGGCCCATCTGCGATAGCAGGCATAGCTCACATAGCTTCAAAGAGCTTACACGGCAGGCTTCAAAATGGAAGATTGCGGCGAGCCATGGCTTCAGCACTGGCAGTTGTCATGGTATCTCGTAGCTGTTGAGCCTCCAGTTCGGGCAGCATATCAGACATGTCAGTGCATAGCTGCAAGAGGCCGTGAAGCTGCCCTTCCCAACTCGAACCAGTTCTCCCTTAATCCGAGCACGCACAGCACTGGGCTGGCACCTCAGCTTTGAGCCGACCTTCCCAAACAGGCAGTGCCAATACAAGGTATATTGCTTACGCGTACATCAAAACATCCGATCAGGCAGAGAGTCAACATCTACGATGCTGGCAAGGCGGATCGGCTTGAGTCCGACTCGGAGACATCTGCAACGTCGCTAAGTGACTATTAAGGGCGCGCACATCAAACATCGACAATTTAGCGACCAGCCGGACATGCAGCATCGGTTCGGTTACCATATTTACCCGACTACAACGTTCCTCGACCGGCAGCTGACAATCTTCCACGTGGGTAGAATCACCGTGGTGAACAAATCATTGGCATTTCAGACTCACAAATTCCGGCCATCGGTTCTGACGCCGAGATTCGGACGTCACCGTTTCCGTCGTCAATCGGCCCTATATCCTTTTGCAGAAAGCGCCATTGAAGTATCTCGAAGGACTAAATGTGCTCGCTTCATGTTGTCGCTTCTTGGATTGCTTGGGATGATGCGGAGGCTTGACGGTGGCGTCAGCGTCCTGGGACTTTGGCCAATGAGCCATGACGACGCTATATGAAAGAAGACGCCTAGTTAGGCCGCCACTGGGGCCGTTGTATGCCCAGGATGTACGGTAAGCATAGTCCAACGGGAGAGGCTTCGGGGGGCGTCAGATAAGCCTCTGTGAATCGGGTCGTGCCGAAACCGACAATTGCCGGAATTGACGACAACTGAGGGCGCGGGAAGTGCCTTGAACCATCTGGAAATGCTCAAAAAGTAGTTTGACTGATAGTTCAGACATGCTCTGAATCAACGCTGTTTTGCTCCGTCTCTGTCAGGTATTCCAGAGTGAATATCTGGCGTGAGTCTAGACAAGAGTGTACCCGACCTCGGTTAAATGAGGGCAATAAGGAGGTGTCAACCGAGTGGGTTCAATACGAAGAGGGAAAATCTCCGAGGCAGAAATCAACCGACTGGACTGGGGAGAAAACACGGCCTCCACTGGGACTGGGGAAAACAAGAGTCCCCAGGCGGGTCTGATTCGTTCCCCAACGAAATCCCCGGACCTCCGCATTCCCTGGTGGCAATCTTTACTCCTTTCAGTTTACACGGCCATGCAGGTCTCGCACCACCCTCATCCTAGACCCTCGCGATCTGGTACTTCCTTCAAGTTCCTTGTCCTCACGCCGCCTGTGACGCCATGACGTACCGCCCAATTGCATGAGTCCGGGATAGATGTTGCTTCGGCTCTGGGTCCTGCATCGGTATATAAGGTCACTTCGAGTCCCCCCCCCGAACTCGGCTCTCTGCATCCTTATTCCGGTTGCAATCCAGCAAGTGTTGGTCGTCCGGTGTGGTTCATTGTTCATCATGTATTGCATTACAAACATCTATAGTAAGTTCTTGGAGCTTCACAGCCTCATACTTCTGTGTTGACCTTCGCCTAGTTCTCGCCGCTTTGGGCACCATCGGAGGTGCATTGTTCGGCTTCGATGTCAGGTACGACTCCTGTCCCCGTTGGATTGGAATGGTAGAATATCATGAAAGCAAGTGCTGACTCCGAGTTCAGTTCCATGAGTGCCTGGATTGGCACCGACCAATATCTAGACTACTTCCATCATCCAGACTCAAACTTACAGGGTGGTATCAGTATGTCTCCCTCCTTCGACCGATTTGATTATCGCCTGAATCAGACTAACGGATTCCTTGAAGCGGCGAGTATGAGTGCCGGGTCCTTCCTTGGAGCACTGGCAGCAGGTTTTCTCTCGGATCATGTTGGCCGTCGCTATGCTCTCATGGTGGCCTGTTGTATTTGGGTGGTCGGTGCTGCCATCCAATGCAGTGCGCAGAATGTCGCCCACCTGATTGTCGGTCGGATAATCAGTGGTCTTTCTGGTAGGTGCCCTTTCTTCTCCACACGGCTATTGTGGTTTGCTTTTGTGTGCTAACCATCCACAGTCGGTATCACATCCTCTCAGGTCTGTGTCTATCTCGCCGAGTTGGCACCCGCCCGCATCCGCGGCCGCGTCGTCGGCATCCAACAATGGGCGATCGAATGGGGTATCCTCATCATGTACTTGATCTCATACGGTTGTGGTAAAGGAATCTCGGGTCCTGCAGCTTTCCGCGTGGCTTGGGGTATTCAAGGGGTTCCCGCATTGATTCTGCTCGCGGCCTTGCCCTTCTTCCCTGAGTCGCCGCGGTGGTTGGGCAGCAAAGAACGGTGGGAGGAGGCGCTGGACACTTTGGCGGCGATTCACGCCAAGGGTGACCGCAATGACCCGGTCGTCCAGGCGGAGTATGAGGAAGTGCAGGAAGCCGTGCGGGTTGCCCGGGAGGCCAAGGATGTTTCCTTCCTGGCGCTGTTTGGCCCGAAGATCTGGAAGCGGACCGTCTGTGGTGTGAGTGCACAGGTCTGGCAGCAGCTGCTCGGAGGCAACGTCGCGATGTACTATGTCGTCTATGTCTTCGACATGGCAGGAATGGTAAGATTAGAGCTTTCGATCGTCATAGTACCAGCTAACAGGGTCATTAGACTGGCAACACCACTTTGTACTCGTCTGCTATCCAATATGTCATCTTCCTGGTGACTACCGGTGCCATCTTGCCGTACATTGATCGCATCGGTCGTCGACCTCTGCTAATGACCGGTTCGATCCTCTGCATGGCCCTCCACTTTGCAACCGCGGGTATCATGGCCAGCTACGGCCACCATGTCGATTCCGTGGATGGGAACGCGAACCTGAAATGGTCGATCACTGGTGCGCCCGGCAAGGGTGTCATCGCGTGTTCGTACATCTTCGTCGGTATCTATGGTCTCACTTGGGCTCCTGCGGGGTGGATCTACGCATCGGAGGTGTTCCCGCTGAAGTACCGTGCCAAGGGAGTGGGATTGTCGGCGGCGGGTAACTGGATCTTCAACTTTGCGTTGGCGTACTTTGTCTCGCCGGCGTTCACGAACATCCAGTGGAAGACGTACATCATTTTCGGCGTCTTTTGCACGGTCATGACGGTGCACATTTTCTTCACCTACCCCGAGACCGCCGGTCGCTCTCTGGAAGATATCGACCTGATGTTTGAGGCCAACCTGCCGGCCTGGAAGACGGCGCGGCTGCCCGACCGATTCGGCGACGAGATCGAGCGCCAGCGACAGAAGACTGGCGATGCGGAGTTGGGCGAGAAGGGGGTGGAGACGACCCACAACGAGACGGTCTAGGGGAGAAGCTACTGAGTTGGTTAGAGCTAGAACCAAGGCATGAACTTAGTGCGAATAGAACCTGTCACTGTCTGTTTTGATGCAGTAGATTGTTTGGTCACTCACCGCCGGCGGTGTTAACAATGTTGCATGACATCATCGTAGAAGTTCATCTTAGCCGATATGGTCGGGCTGGTAGAAAACCATGATTATCGCTTTGACAGTATAATTGCATATGGCACATCAGACTTGCTGCTCTGTTCATGAAACACAATCAATCAGACATCTGAAAGTGTGGCGATGTGGGTGATGCCCGATGCAGTGATACTCCCAGTGATGATACGTGGAGAAATATTTGGCCTAGCGGGGACGACCGGGCTAACCAATTCTGGACATCCCGCTTTTTGCCCGAGATCTCAGGCACTCAGGCACATCCTGGCGCAGCGGACTACAGAACAGTCTCGGCAATGAGACCAGCCTGCCACTCCGGTCAGAAAGCCATGGTCATAAGTTGGGATAAATTACACTCCAGCTCTGCTAACAGATTTTGAAATGGTGCTGGGATTAATGGTACTTTTCTTTGGTGACACTATGTTCTTGATGCCGTCCTGGTGCCACAACGCCTGGAGATATATATTGTGCACGGGAAGCCCGTAGAGCACTAGAAGAGCCCCAACGCCGCGACACTCAATCTCGCATGCCACGTACTTAGCAGAAGCACAATACTCAGACTCGGAATTGGAACTTCGAATCGAGGCTACCAGATAGATAAACTTGGTGTCAAGCTCCAAGGCTGAACCCACATTGCATCTACCACAACGCACCGATTTGACAGGCACCAGATCTCCAGCTTTGCAATATTCAGTGGTCGAAGGATGGCCGGGCCCTTCAATTCTTCAGTCCAAGATTGCGTGGTGGGGCTAATCAGTTCAGGCCTAAGAGAGTCTTTATCGCAGATAAACTCCATCAGTGATGTCACCCCTCAGTAATCCACAGAGGTTAGTTTCAAGCTCGCCATTGCGAACAAGAGATTCGCCCTCCAGTCTTCCATGTGCAATTGACGGAACTGTTCACCTGAATGCTACAATTCGGAGCCTTTTCCCACACTCCATCCACATTCTTCGATCGTTCTGCATGAACTTGCCTGCTCCCACCTTCCCACTGCCATGTCCCCACATGCCCCACATCTCCCACTTCGATGCTGAATAACTTCTCGGTTCTCGCCCTCAGCTTCAGCTGTTTTTGAACTGGTGTTTGACTCTGTTCCGAGTTAGAAATCCCACAGTCGAGGTGATTTACGTGCATATCTTGTCATCTTTCGACATTTTGAGCTGTAAAGCTTCGTTCGCGCCGTTGACAACTGCGCAGAGTCGCAGCCGCGCATCCGACATCGGGGACGCCTTCCGCCTCGCTGCCCGAAATTACAGGCAGCAAGATGTCGCTCTCGAGCTCTTCGCCCAAACACTCCATCAACGGCGACAGCGAAGATGACAGTCGACACGACTCCAACTTGACGCGGACCGAGTCCATGCGCTCGGCCGCCGACCACTTCACGCGGTTCCACGAAATCGTCTTCGTGGTCGTGGTGTGCATGTCGCAGTTCATGACGCAGGCCGCGCTGAGCGTCAACCTCGCCCCGCTGGACATCATCGGCGACGGGCTCAACATCTCGCAACCCGGCATCCTGAGCTGGTTGATCGCCGGCTACTCACTCACCGTCGGGACTTTTATCCTGTTCTTCGGCCGGCTGGGCGATCTCTTCGGCTACCGCCTCATGTTCATCATCGGCTTCGTCTGGTTCGCGCTGTGGTCCATGGTCGCCGGCGTCAGCGTGTATTCGAACTACATCCTCTTCATCTTCGCGCGCACCCTCCAAGGCCTGGGCCCCGCCATGCTCCTGCCCAACGGCCTCGCCATCCTGGGCGCCACTTACCGCCCGGGGAAGAAGAAGCACATGGTGTTCGCGCTGTTCGGCGCGATGGCGCCCAACGGGTCCGTGATCAGCGGCATCTTCGCGGCCGTCTTCGCCCAGCTGGCCTGGTGGCCGTGGATCTTCTGGTCGATGGCGATCTGGAACCTGATACTGGCGCTGCTGGGCGTGTACGCCATCCCGCCCGCGCCGACCGACCCGCGCATCCGTACGCTCCCCCTGCGGGCCCTCTGCACAGAAATGGACCTCATGGGCGCAACGCTGGGGATTACGGGGCTGGTGCTGGTGAATATCGCATGGAACCAAGCGCCGGTGGTGGGATGGGAGCAGGCGTACGTGTACGTGCTGCTGATCGTGGGGCTGCTGATCATCGCGGGGTTTTTCGTCTGGGAGATCCACGTGGCGGAAAACCCGCTCATCCCGTTCCACGCGCTCAACGTCGACGTCTCGTTCATCCTGGCCTGCGTGGCGTGTGGCTGGGCCAGCTTCGGCATCTGGATCTACTACTTCTGGCGATTCCTTGAGGACATCCGCGGCGTGCGCCCTATTCTCGCGTCGGTTGAGTTCATCCCGCCCTCCGTCATGGGGATTATCGCCGCCTTCTCGACGGGCCATCTGCTGAGTCGGCTCCATCCGGGCTGGATCATGGTCATGGCGCTCGTCGCGTTCACGCTGGGAAATGTGCTGTCGGCGATCGCGCCTGTGCACCAGACGTACTGGGCGCTGTCGTTCGTCACGCTGCTGATTATCCCGTTCGGTATGGACATGTCCTTCCCCGCCGCAACGGTGGTGCTGAGTGACGCGGTGGGGAGGGAGCATCAGGGTGTCGCTGCGTCGCTGGTGTGCACTATTGTCAATTACAGTATCTCGCTGGGACTGGGGTTCGCGGGCACCGTCGAGGTGCATGTCAACCACGGCGGGAAGACGTTCGAAGATAAGTTATTGGGGTATCGTGGGGCATTCTATATGGGAATTGGGCTCGGGGGATTGGGGCTGGTCATGAGTGTGGTGTATGTGATCCATAGTCTGAGGAGGGGGCGGCGCGGTGGGAAGGGAACCGAGGACGCTTAGCTGCTAGCCTCTTTCCTCACCTTCGGACTCGCATTCTGTTTTGGTTAACAGGGTTCAAAGAATATATACAAGGCTATAGAACATAATTAATAGACCATTTTCGTTATCCTTGGACGTGTCCGGGTGGATTCGATTCAATCGGAACAGGGTAGTGACGGCTGATAGTTGTGTAGTTACCGAAGAAGGGACTATGCTGGCCAGCCACCTGTTGCAACTCAAGCTGTTGTGAGCACTGTTGTGGTTTACCGTACTTTGGCGAACGAAGCCGTGGTACTACCCTACAGTGAAGCCAAATTACAATAGTGAGAGTGTACACAGCTGTCAAAGCTCATTTATTATCCAACATAGCCACGCCAATATTTACAACCAAGTTAGACAAGCTCAACCTTCAACTTAGACATCGTAGGTGTGGGCCTGGACGTTGATGGTCTCGACGGTGAAAGTCTTGTGGTCGGAGGTCTTGAGGCCGGTGGAGCTGACCTCGTTGGTGGCCAGAGTGCCGGCGAAGGTGCTGTCGGCGGCGTTCAGGATGATGGTAGTGTCGATGTACTCTGCAAAACGATTAGATTGGGCTTGCAAAACAACAACGGGAAACTTACGGTGAGCGCGAGCAGTGCTCTTGCAGGCATCGTCCTGGCATTCGACGGCGGTACCCCAGCCCTGTGCCACACCGGAGCCTGTGGATGCTTAATACGATCCCTCTTGGGAATCAAGACCTGATAGAACTTACTGGTTGACAGAGTCGAAACAACTTTACCGTTGAGAGAGACGGTCTGGTCGTACTTGGAGGTGGAGTCGTTGTACTTGTCTAGATATTGTCAGTATTCCTTGAAATAGCAAAGAAGAGGCTTGACGTACACTCCATGGTCACCTTATCGCCAGCATTGGCGGGAACCTCAGTTCCACCGAGCTGAGTGCCTGGTTCAATTAGCACACCGTTGATGAATCATGCTTGGGGACTTACCTTGAAGAGTACTGGCCCAGATACACCACTGGCCAGACTTGCCACCGCAATTGCTGTATGTCGTTAGCTGTTTACACAAACACGCTATTGCAACTCCCTGCTTCACATAACATACGCGTTGGGGTCAGAGAAAGAGACAGCAAGCGCCTGGATCAGGTCACCACCGCTGGTGCCCATACCAGGCCACAGGGCCAGGCGGTCCGCCACGGGGCTGGGAACTTCAGGAAGAACAAGAGTAGTCTTGGCCTCGCGGATCCAGCTCTGAGTAGGGCCCAAGCTGAAGTACGGGCCGAATCCAATGGTCGACTGGGCGTTCGCCATGCCGAGAACGGCGAGGGCAGCGAGAGTTTCGAGACCGAGCATGGTGATAAGAAGGGACTGTTTGACTTGTGGTGGGCTTGCGAGAATGCACGAGGGTGACGAAAAACTGGGAGAAAGAGAGACTCGCTGTGAGCTTTATAGAATGTCACAGAGACGGCGGAGGGAGCTCTAGTCTGAAAGGGGTCGTTTTCATCACGGCGATGTGTCCGAGACGGGCTCTTCAAGTCCACATGGAGGATTAATGTGTTTCGAGTCGGCACCTTTCACACCAAAATCAGTGCGGACCGGGGTCAGAGGTTGTCTCAAGAGAAGACAAAGCCCGCCTTACCGGGAGAAATCAGGAACAGCGGCAGATTGCTGGTCCCTGGATGGGGATGCGTGGTCTGAGCCAGGCTCTAGTGTCAATCCGATACGTTTTCTCCACCGCTGTTTCAACCCAAGCCCCTGACTCGGGAGCCGTGGATCGCTACCATTTTCGGCATACTTCATAGACAGGGAAAGAAAGCACAACGAAGACAGAAACACATATTTGATGCCAGTTAAACTATCCACGAAGTGTGTACATGAATGAAGCTAAACGTGTGGGTGTCGTTCAGTGAGAGGTGGACGGATGTGAGGAAAAGACAGAAACGGAGAGATGTTCGGCAATCATGGAGGGTTGCCGCCTGCCGAAAGCTTGGCCTCGCCGTACAGAGTACTAGACCTGACTATGCGACTTTAATTTCTCCAGCCGCGAAGCATATTAGCCTGAGACGCGAAGTGTCTTACTTGATTTGATCCTTCATGGGGTTGCAGAATATATTGACTACCAGGTCCATTCTTCCCCATTCCCATTGGGAAGATAGTGGTTGCCTCCTTGTCCAGGACTCCAGGTTGAATGCAATCTATTCTCCGCTCCGACTCAATCCTTCCATTTTGTACTTAAGATTGTCCGGCTTGGACTCCGCGTCTCAAGCGGACACGGCATGAAGGACCCCTTTGACAGCCTTGTACCATAGCTAGTGCTATTTACTTAATCTAAGCTATATTGTGGCTCCGGTTAGAACGACACCGTTTGACGCTTAACTCCGGTCCAGTGGACAACTCGCGTGTGACTAAAAACACAGTAGTCATACACTATATCTGAACATTGACAACATTACAAGAAGACGGTAGTTACACATATTATGCCGACGAAGAATCTATAACAACAACTCCCAATACTCCCCTACCGACTTGAACCCCAACTTCTCATCTTCCTCCGAGGACACTAGCTTATAGCCCTCCTTCTCATACAGGCGTCGCGCGGAAACCAAGACACTATTTGTCCACAAGCGAATTCGCGAATAACCCGCCTGGCGCGCAAACTCCGTACATTGTCGAATCAACGCCCGACCCAATCCCAGTCCTCGAGCGCTCGGCTCCACGAGCAGCAGACGTAGCTTTGCGGCATTGCAGTCGGATCCCCGATCCTTGACCAGCATAACACAGCCCAGGAACTCGCCATTGCGGTCGGCGATCCAACAGCGTTCGCAATCGGGATCGTAGTTTTCGACGAAGTCGACGGTGACGCCGGCGACGAGAGCCTCGAAGCGCTCGTTCCAACCGTATTCCTGGGCGTAGAGGGCACCGTGTCGATGAACTATCCATCCCATGTCACCCGGACGGTGATGGCGGAGGGTGTATGAATCGGTTGTCGTGGAAGTCATCGGATCGTGTCAATGGAGTGCGTTGTTCGGATAGAGAGAAAGATCATGAGACAAATTGATCATTAAGCCATGAGACAATGATCGGATAGAGTGTGAGATAAGAATGTTTGGCACAAAATTTGAGGACATGTTGTTAATATGCCACGTCTAGATGGAAGGACTTTATATGACTGTTGAGCTGCATTTCGGCAATTTTAAAGTTGGCCGTACGCTAGACCAAGTTCGGTGCCAAAAGTCCCCCCCTGCTGACTCATAGCCAGTCAAAAGAGTCGAAAACGCAGCATGGAGTAGAGTGGATCTATTCTCAGCGAATGGGAAAGAGCCAGTCCCGGCGGGACGTGAAGCTGGCCGATCGCAAACTTTTCCTCTCCAAGTAATCTTATTGAACTACATAATACGATGCCATGCAGGCTGGGAGTACAGAAGACGGTTCGCAGAGGCCCCTACAACAGGCGAGCAATCGTACTCGCCCGAGGATTACTTTGGGAAACAAGAGACCAGTAGCGTGAGTCCCAGTCCAACATGTACTGTACAAGGTCTCGCATCCATGATCAGGCCTAATCAACTCGGGAACGAACTAGTTGCCACAGATGCCATGCTCAGAAGGTCAAGTGCTCGGGTGAAACACCCTGTTCCAGATGCAACATGGCTGGGTGTGCAAACGAATGCAGTTACGTAGTCCGCGATCGAAAAGTCCGCGTTGACGAAAGGTATGGACCAGGTCTCCGGTGGTGGAGCACGGGTCCGAGCTGACGTGCGATTAGCTATCTCGAACGCTTGATTGAAGACAGCGAGGAGCTCCGTCAATACCGCTTGAACTCCAGGAATACCATCTGTAATAGCCTAGAAAGCGGCCATCCATCCACTGAAAAGAACGATTTCAACCCCCACAACCCGCTGCTGGAAGACCGGCCATGGTTCCAGACACATGAAGGGTTGGCGCTCCCCGTCTTTATCAGTGAAGCGGCCTGCACAGGATTTGCTACGCGCCTCTGTCAATGTCTCGACGGTGAAGGCATTGTTGTTTCACATATTCCCCGGATGCAATATGTTGCAGAGCCGACACTTAACCAGCTTTCACAGACCGGAGTCCAATGGCCCAGCCTGAGTCGTGCGCGCTTGCTGGTCAAGACTGCGCTGGGTCACATCAGCCCACCGTTTCATGTTGCCTTAGTGAAAAGCACCATTGAATATCTTCATGGCATCTATGAGCGAAGGGCTTTCGATGATCCAGTCCTGAGTTGCAAGTACTTTGCTCTTTTTGCTCTGGGAGAGTTATACTCGATTTCCAATGACCGAACCACTCAGGGCATGGTGCCTGGAATGGCCTACTATGCTCGAGCCATCGGATTAACTCCCGTGCTGCCCGAGAGACCTACTATCATGCACATCGAGTCCCTTCTGATGCTGGTAAGTCTAAGCTTAGGACTATACCATTCTCCACTAACTTCTCCAGGCTCTTTATAGTCAGTCCCTCAACCGACAGCATTCCGCATATCTTATGGTCGGAACGGCGCTGCGCTTTGCACTATTCCTCGGGTTGAATCATAACATTCCTGACTGTCACTGCCCAGATCGAAAAGCGCGGGAACATCGTGCCCGCCTTTGGTGGACAATCTACATCTTTGACCGATCCTGGGGTCTCAAGCTTGGGCTTCCAGGGCAGACCAACGACGAAGATATTCAAGTCGGCCTACCCATTGATCTTGATGATGAAGTCTACCGCGACGAGTTTGTGGATAGCGCGTATCAAGTAGCGTTCATCAAATTAGCCCGAATCTCCACTCAGATCATGCGAACGATCTATAGCCGCAAACAGTTCCCCGAGACCTTTCTACAAAGAGAGCAGAGCATCCTTCTCAAATTGCAGCAGTGGATGCAATCGCTGCCCGAGCATCTACGCCTTCACACAAGCAATCATAACCCCAAGTGCACCATCCTCATTCACCTGCAATTTAACTACGTACGTCACTCGCATTATCTCTCAATCGCGATCCGTACTGACCATCACAGTGCGTCATCCTTGCCATTCGACCAATCCTCCTAGGCATCCTGAACCACCTCACGTCCGGTCCAGAAAGCACTATCCGCCCGACCCTCGTCGCTTTGAAAGATGCGTGCATTCATTCCGCACGCCACACTTTGATTCTCTGTGCGGATGAATGGACGAACGGCTCCTCCTCCACCTACGGCTACGCCTTTGCTCAATACATCTTCACCTCGGCTCTCATTCTGATAATCTCGAGCCTTCTCCCTGGCGGAACGGCAGAGGATTTTGCCTCAGTGGATACAGCCGTCGAGATGTTAAACTCCCTTGTCGCTAATGGCAGCCTCGTCGCGGATGACCTGTATCAGCATCTCATTCGCGCCCAGAACTGTTTGCGGACTGGGCGCTTTGCATCGCGGTTCCCTATTACGGAAAGTGAGACTAATCATTACCTTAACACGTCGTTCTCACCACCTGATAACTTCTCACATAATCCCAATCTTGACGTGCAGTCTTTGAACCCCTCGACCATGATCCACACACCCGGTCTAGGGAACGCAGTGACCGGAGATCCGATGTACTTGACCGCTGAGATGGCGCTATATCAACCGCTCATGCAGGACTTTCTTACCCAGTCGGTTGGGGATCTCGGGTGTTTGGACATTCCGGAAGTTCCTGCGGCAGGCTCGGATGTCTGGCCCGGACTTCCGCTATGGACTACCTGGTGATCTTGGTGTAGGAACCGGGGTCTGGTTAAGATGCATGAGGACCCTACAAACTACCATTCTTTGTATACTGTTGGAAACCGAGGGGATAAGTCTCAAGAATTTCTACTCCTTTATGAGTCGAAAAAACATAATTAGTCAGATTTAGTCTCCCAACGTCGGTATTCAGTGATGGCGTAACGATGTTCATGTATTGATCATAAATCCAGATGTAGAGTTACTCCACATAAAAGCAACCGGGAGCAAGTCTCTATCTAACCAAGATGAGTCTAAGTTATGTGGTCTATCGTCTACATTTGCAGGCGGTGGCCGCTGTACTTGCGCGGCTCGAGCGAGAAGCTGCTGACATCCGCATCAGTCCGTTCAGGGAAGCCCTCAAGCGACCGGGCGTAGGTCGCGATCGAGTGACCCACAAGCTGTAATGAGAGCGTTAGTAGGTATGAAGTGTAGACAAGCATGTGGACATACCTTCGTGTTGATTTCCCATGCCGTGAGGTTGACATTGGAGACATCATCACACAGCTGGTGATAGCAGCTATCAAACCACTCACCAGCCTTACCGCCAAAGAGGGCCTCTTCCTCCTTGGTCTTGACACCTTCGGCTCCCGTGGCGATGCCTCCTCCGGGGATGCCATGACGGATGAATGCATCGTAGTCGCTGCGGCCATCGAACGGGATGTAGGTGTAGTTGAGGTCGTGGGCCGCATAGTAGTCAGTGTAGAGGTCGCGCAGCTCCTCCGACCCGACGGGGTTGACCGCATTGGTTGCGTTGTAGACCTGGTATGCGAAGTTGGGCGATCCGAGCATATCGTAGTCCATGAAGAGCCGAATTTTACGATTCTCCTCCGCAGACAGGTTCTCCACATAATAGTTCGAACCAAGCAGGCCTTCTTCCTCGCCGGCCCACCAAGCCAAACGCACGCAGTTGTTGACACGAAACTGGGTCAGTAGTGTGGCTAATTCGAGAAGGGTCAGACTGCCCGAGCCGTCGTCGTTGATACCGGGGCCTTCGGCTACGCTGTCACTGTGGCCGCCGGCCATGACGCAATTATCCTGATCGCCGTCAACGGTTTGAGCGATGATGTTTGTGGTGATGATGGTCTCCACGATGCCGTCAATGTACGCAATGCCGTCCACCTTCTCGCCCTTCTTCAGCTGCTCGAGGACTGGGGCGGCATCGCTGTCAGAGATGCCGAAAGTGGCGACATGGTCTGGTGTCGGCGTGCCTAGTGTTCCGGAGAGATCCCCCTTCTCGTTGTTGTACACCACCGCAGCTATCGCGCCCGCTTTGCCGGCCAGGTCGGATTTGGTCCCGAACGGGCATGTTCCTCTGCTGATAAAGGCGATCGCACCGGACACCTCGGGGGGATAGTCAGACGACTCGCATCCAAAGTTGGCGACTGCCGCCAAGGGGCCGTAGACAGGCTCCTTGTTCTTTGTGGGGGGCGTCAAGCCCATCGGGGTAGCTGAGGACGGCACCGTGTGGCCAAGGACGAGGCGCGACTCGAAAACATTACCGGTCACCGCAGGGAAGGACTGGTTCGTGATGGTGTAATAGTCACCGAGCTCAACAAGGTTGGAGTACACGTAGTCCAGGGTTCCGAGGTGGCCTAAGTCGAATTGTCAGTAGGTGACTCACAGCAGCAGCGGAGATGGGTGACGAGGGCACAGCACCTTTGCTGCCAATAACCCGCGTGGGGTGCTGATACTCCTCCTCTCCAAGCTTCGCAATTTCGTAGAGTTCCTTGGCCCGTTTGAGCAGGTTTTCTGCCTTCACTTGCTCCTGCAGCAGCTCCGAGCTGATGAGCTGCTTGCTTGATGTGGAGAGCCCGGACTGAGGAGCTTGAGAAGCTTGGGGAGCTTGGAATAGGGGCAATTGGAGAGCTCCGACCGGCCCAAGAAGGGCGGGAACAATTGAGAGCTTCATAATAAAGCTCTACTAGATGCTGGATGAGAGATAAGATCGATAGAGCAGAGTGAATGAGAACGAAGAAGAAGAGAGAAGGAGGAGGGAGGAGAAGGAGGAAGAGGTTGGGGAGACAAACAAGCCGGGGGAAGGTCAGCTGATAAGCGATAAGATAAGCTAAACCACAGATCGCGTGACCTCCCGATTGGGCATATGCGGATTCTCTAGATCAGGATTAGCGGGAGATGGCGGGCGCCTCTCCATACCTAGCTCCGTAGGTATTCCAGTCACTTTGCAAGTATTTGGTAGCAGCAACATGCAGGTCCAGGGCCTCAGGACTGGTCTTGTCGCCTTTTGCCCGGCGATGGCTCCCTTCTGGGAGTGTGTGTCTGGCAGATCGATGATGCAGTGGAGTCGAACCCTTCCCCAAAACGGAGATCCAATCGCACTGCTATCGGAATGAACGGCTCAAACCTTCTATGCGCGTCATTGTTACAAGATGTTACATATGCCCACATACAAAAGCCCGCGGTCGCACAAGAGGTCATGTCTGTCTGATGATAACCAGGAAGAACCGCGACAACCCTCCGCACAATGTCGCTCTCCTATCGGGAAGCGCTGGACGCGATCCGCTGCGAGTCCGAACGCGATGCGGTACGCTTCCGGTCGTATGCCGAGACAGTTACCATATACAAAGCCGTGAATCGAATCTCCCATATGACCTATCGATGTCATGAATCGACACCCAGATTCGACACGTCCGCCATGGATGGTTATGCGCTCAGTTCGGCGGCAACACGGTCGGCAGCCTCAGATAGCCCAGCCATATTTCGCGTCTGCGGCACGATAGCGGCAGGAGAAGAGCCATTGTATCTCGAAGAGGACGCTGTTTCAGACATCCAGCCTTGCGTTGAAATCATGACGGGTGCACCCTTCCCGCAATCTACTCGCAATCAGGCTTTCGATTGCTGTGTACGCCTGGAGGACGTCCTGCTAGTCACTGTTTCAGGATATCCCTGTATCAAGGTCGAGAAACAGGCGACATTCCAACAGAACAGACGGTTAGCAGGCGAGGACTTCTCGAAGGGTGATATCCTGGTCTCTGCGGGGGAGGTGATCCAGCCATCGCACATCATGGCGCTCGCATCGGCTGGCGTCCACGAGGTTCGAGTAATACGAAGGCCTGCCGTTGGCGTGATTTCGACCGGAACAGAACTAGGCAAGCGCTGCATATCCAGCCTGCATCGCATTCCAGACGCCAATGGGCCCTACATCACCGCTAGCCTGCAGGAGCAGGGGTTTGAAGTTGACTTCCTTGGCATACTGGAAGACAACAAGGAAGCAACTACACGTGGGATTCACAAGGTTTTGAACATGAATCGATATGACATCCTGATTAGTTCCGGGGCAGTATCCACAGGCAAATTCGACTTTATACCGTCTGCTTTACAGTCACTTCAAGTTCGTCAAGTCTTCCATAAGATCTTGATTCGACCAGGACACCCGGCCCTTTTTGCAAAAGTCCCCAGTGCAAGAAGTGCACTTGATGATTCAGGTGCCAGTGATTACATGGATGAGGTACCATTCTTCGGGCTCCCAGGCAACCCGGTAGCCAGCGCAGCTTGTCTGCAGTTCCTGGTAGTGCCGTACTTGAGGTTTCTTCAGGGCCAACCGCTGGAACCCGTGCTGGAAGCACGGGCAATAAAGGCCGAGGATGCCAAATCGTCAGTTGCGTACAATATGGAGCGGGCGGCGTCGCAGGCGCTGTTCAAGGTGCCGAAACATCTTGACGTATTCCGACCTGGGGTAATAAATCGTCACAGCGGAGATCGATTAGAAGTGACCCCGATGGAGCACAGTTCGTCGAAGATCAAACCATTCCTTGGCGCCAATTGCTGGATTCACATTCCAGCCGGCGTCGACGAGATCAATCCGGGAGACACGGTCAATATTGTGGCCAGTCACTGACCAGCGATACTTTGACCGTCTGCGTTGTGGCCATCTTTGAGAGCTAATGCTCTTTGCCATTCTGTGCGATTATTGGTATTAAACAGCCACCGTTCATCCAACGGCCTTATTCCACATCCTTGCACAGCTTTTATAGCAGACTTCGGACCGAGAATGCCCTTCTGAACATTGCTTGCCAGTAGACGCAGGGCCTGAGGCGTCCACAATGCCAAAAGAGGCTCATACCAACCCTCTTGGTTTTCAAAGCACACGACTGGAGCTTCTTCCGAATGTCGAAGCAACTGCCTCAGTGCGTTCGTTGTCAGGAAAGGATAGTCGCATGCGATCACCAGCCATTTTGCCTTGGGATCATGCCTGTATGCGGCCAACAGCCCCGCGGCTGGTCCTATATCGCTGCCATCGTCTCCGCTTGCATTGTCGTCATAGATAATCTGGACGCAGAGCTTTTTATGGTGAATTTCCAGGCCAAAGCTGTCGGTCCCGTAGGTTGTTATATCCGGAAGAGCTTGGCTGGCGGCTTTGCTTCGCATAGACAGATAAATTGTATCTGATTCAGGTAGAGCGTCATGAAGCACGGCAATCAATTGTCTATACATTGGCACATCTCCCTGAAAGGATAACAGCTCCTTTCGAGTTTTCATTCGGGAAGAGGTTCCACCCGCGAGGATCAAGCCCTTTACCGACTCCATCTCTGGCTCTCACTCTTTGTTCTGATGATTATTACACGGATTTCTTGGAGATAATAAATCGAGTTCAATAATATCATTGACGTCATGAATTCTGACATCATTATGGGTAGGTCAGCCGTTGAATTGACTTTACGACTTTGACTAGCGCCCATCCTAATGAGTTATACCACACGTATTAGCAGCGCAAGGTTCCAGCCAAGCTCGAATCCGGGCGGCGCAACTCCTCGGGCAGCGCCATGGGAACCAGAAGGGTTTGTGGGCTCTTAACCTTGATCTGCTGCGCTATCCACGCCTTTTGTCGAAGGATGTTTGCCAAACTGTTGTTGACCGCCGCTACGAACTCCGTATCCCACAATGCTTGACTAGCTGGAAGCAGCGCACTCATGTGGTCCTCGATATGCGTCAAGAACAGCTTCAGGGATTGGAGAGCCGCAAGCGCCTCATACGGATCGCTCGCCTCAGTCGTGGGTATCAGCGCGTCCACGAGTCGCTGGGTAACCGCTCTGCCATACTGCTGGGCTTCGTGATACTTCTTTACCTGCGGTTGCAGTAGATCCAGAATCTCTCTGGTCAGCCGGTTCAGGACTCGAAGCCCCGACTGTACTTCGAGATCGTGGATAAGCCGCGGAATGAGATGGTCATAGAGTTCAGCCAATTTGATGACAGCTTCCTCGGTCGCGCCCAACCACAGCTCCAACCGGCGCTTTCGTTCACCTCGGTCGCCACTGACCGTCTCTGGGCAGCTGGTATCTGGCTTCTTGTCTTCAACAGCAGCCATTGCTTCTGACAGTCCTTCTCCGGCTTCGATTTGGTCTTCCCCTTCTTTCTGCACGCATTTCTCAATCCGAACAGCCCCGGATTTGAACATCGGCTGCTTGGAAATTGGGTCCCATTGCTCTGCAAATATCGTCAGTCTCATCCTTACAGGAAGTTATGCAACTAGCCAGGCAGTATACTATACCTATGGTAAGTTCGTTCGCTGCACGAGCACGTCCGTCACTATCGAGATCCCCAAAATGGAATGTGATGAACACGTGGCCATGTTCAATGTCGCCTATGGAAACAGGCAGTTGAACTTGGCCCCTCCGAGACTTCACCACCACCGTCTCCCCCTCCACCAGCTGTAATGCCTGTGCATCAGCTGAGGAGATCTGCACCGATGGCTCCTTGTATGCCTGTTGGAGGCGCCGATTTCGGCCCGTTTTAGTACGCGTATGGAAATGATAGACATTGCGCCCGGTTGACAATCGCAGCGGGAAGTCCTCGTCTGGCTCTTCGAGCGATGGCTGATAATGAGCAGACTTGAGGATTGCTCTCCCAGCGGGTGCCATTGCCTTGTACTGGGCTTGCGTGAGGGGTGCCCCTGTTTGCAGATCATGACCATAGCTCTCACAATAATCTTCATCCGTGAAAAACTTCCCGTCATCGAAAAGGCGCTCTCGACCTAAGGGGTGTTTAGCCGTACACGGCCAGGTGATACCAGATCCACCCTGCAGTTTTGCGTAAGAGAGGGCACTGCAGTCGCACGGCCTGTTGAAAGACATACGCTTCCACGCCTCGAACACTTCTTCCGGCTCTTTATACGGACACAGTGGGTTGCCTTCTTTGTCTTTAAACCCCATTCTCGAAGCAAAATCCAGAAAGATGTCTAAATCAGACCGGGCCTCCCCAGGGGGCTCCACAGCTTTCTTGGTGAGATGCATTGTGCGGTCGGCGTTGGTAAAACACCCGGTCTTCTCAGCCCACTGTGCGGCGGGCAACACAACGTCGGCCACTGCCGTCGTCTCGGTCGGAAAGATATCCTGGCATACCAAGAACAAGCCTGGCTTTGTCAAGAGCTTACGCACCTTGGGGAGATGCGGCAGGCTGACCAGCGGGTTCGTGCCCGAGACCCATAGCATCTCGATACTCCCGTCATCGATGTATTTGAGCATATTCTCAATGTGCGTGGGCTGATTCCAATGGGGCATCTTAATGTAGTCGATGTTCCAGTAGTCTGCGATCTCCTGCATATGCGCTTTGTTCTGGTGATTACGAAACCCAGGAAATTCTCCGTCGCATCCTGTTTCCCTGTTGTTTTGCGCCGTGGGCTGCCCGTTCATCTGCAGTATACCCGAACCAGGCTTGCCAATGAGTCCTCGGAGGAGATTAATGTTATTGATCTGACATGCACTCGCCGTCGCCTGGTTTGACTGATAGACACCCTGCAGTGCCGTTGACAGAAGTGTTTCGGTTGTGCCAATGATACGAGCTGCCTCCTCCAACTGGCCCTTGGGGACGCCGGTGATGCTTTCCACATATTCAGGGGTGTATTTTTCTACCGTTCTCCGCAGTTCTTCTGCTCCAATGACGTATTTGTTAGTGTATTCAGAATTAACCCATCCGTTCTGGAATAGACGGTTCTGGATCCCATTCAGCAGCGCTAGGTTTGTCCCATTCTTGGGTGCCAGGTGGACGGTGGCCCGCTTTGCAGTCTCAGACTTCCTCGGATCGACAACAATAAGCTTGGGTGGATCTGGACCATCGAGTCTGTCCAGAATACGGGACCAGAGCACCGTCTGTGTAGCCGAGACATTGTGACCGACCATGAAGAGACAGTCGGTGTAGTCAACATCGGAGTAGGAGCCTGGCTGGCCGTCGGATCCGAAGGATTCTCTCATCGAGGCTGCCGCTGTCGCTGTGCACAGCCTGGTATTTCCGTCCCTGCGGTAATTAGCTCAAATTCAGGAAGGTTACGACGTTTACAAAGTCGTGCTATTGTCGATAATTGAGTGCGCAAACATCTCCAAGTGTACGAAACGTACTGGGATTAGCAGGGCAGAAACATACATATGCAAAGTATTTAACCCAGCCTTTCCCACCATGGCTAGTATATAGTACTCCTCCAGAAACAATTGTCCAGAGGTATAGAACCCAATGCCATGATTAGTGAGGCGGGAACGAATCGCCTGAGTGCGTTGGACAATGAGATCCATCGCCTCATCCCAGGTGGCGCGTTCAAGCTGGCCATTCCGCCGAATGAGCGGCCACTGAAGTCGGTCTGGATGTGAGATCGCCGTCCACCTGTAGATGAAGCCTAGCATTAACCCACGTACTGCGCATCGGTCATGGATAAGTACGTACCCGTGCAGTCCTTTGGGGCCCAATCTGCCCTTGTTGACGCGATCACTGACGCGACCGCGCACCCCGACTACCTTGCCATCCTTGACGCCAATATCCATCCCGCAGCCGTTACTGCGTCAACCATTAGATTACAGGCGATAACGGGGAAATGGTTAGTGAAATGCTGACCTGCAAAGCACACAGGCGCTTTGCACCCATTTTTCAGGAGTGTCAAGAGTATGTTCATCGCATCGAGTCGGCCATTCGTGCTTGTAGGGGGTGCGAGGGCCCCAAATGTCCTGGATGGAGTCCCGCGTCTCGTAGGGCTGAGGCATCGTGACGTGGTAGCAATGCGGGATATGCGCTATCTTTCCTGTGGGATTGGGGGAGAGGCTGGAGAGGCTTGGATTTAAGGCGGGTTTCCAGGGCAATACCTCAGATAACAGTTTTCTCGTTCACAGCATCATGGAAATTGTTTTGCTACCTGCGAGTAGCACAAAATGAAAAGGATTGATGATGGCTTCGCTACGGAGCCGCGGACCAAGGCGGAGGTGACATCATACAAGCTTCATTCAAACTCTGGAATGTGGATTGAATTGGCACATCCAGCAGAAAGACGATCTACAGTACATCTACGTCGATTTCCACAGAAGGGGAAATGCATGTATACATCATGTATGTATTGAAATGATCTACTCTCCTCGATAAATCAAACGCGGGAGGATCGTCCTCACAGATTGCCCGTCCAAGGATCCCAGGCCTACATGTCCCTCGAATTCGCTCATACCCTCCAAGTTCTTTTCGCGCACAACGGTCTTAAGGATAGTTATCAGCTTTGCCAGCAATGTGTCCTCAGAAATCTGGCCTTTGTTCTCTCGGGTCTTCAAGATTTCGGCCTCTCCGGGTAGCGGATGCAATCGATCCCGGTTTCCTGCTTGTGCAAGAGGGCTCCCATCCGCGAAAATAAGATGCGGAACACAGCACGGGTGAAGTTTGCCATAAGGGAAATACCGTGCTTTCAGTAACTTCAGGTCCTCACTATACGCATCTCGGAACCGAGTAAGAACCTTCCATGCGACTACATGGAGTGTTAGCCAGGGTATCTTGAACTCGAGCTGTTCGGCTTTGACATGCCGACTCAGCAGATGAAGAAACTCGGTATTCGTTGGCCTACCACTAGAGCGAGCGGCGGGTTTCTTGTCTCTAGCCAGGGTGCCAACACACAGGCCACTGAAGTGATCAATTAGACCGCCGTCACTCTCCGAGAACCGGGACTCACTAAGAATATGTTCAACTTCCTTGGCAGTCCACCGTGGTCGCTCCGGGGTGGTGCATCGCTCTGTAAGCATGCAGGTGACTTCGGCATGTGGTTGAAACTCGTAGGCCTTGCTCAATCTCCCGGTCTTCCGGCTAGAACGCTCGCTCAAGGTGGCCTGAACGGCGGACATACCAATGGCAAACTTGAATGACCGGTAGAAATCATCCCGAGTGTTGGTTTGCCCACTACCGATCACATTAGGGTGGAATATCATCGTCAACGGCACGTCTGGCCACAGGTTGCCATCGAGTAAGCCCTCTTTCTGCCCTGCATTGTAGAGATGACAAATCCCCAGCACTGCCATGGATTGGTTGACAAATTCCAAAATTATAATCTGTGCCAGGCGCTTGAACTCGCAGAGCAATAAACCGGAAAACTGAGGATGGATCTTCAGCAATTGGAAGGCCGGAGTCTCTTCTCCCTCGAAGCCATCCATTCCGTCGTAGTCATTCCTCTCCTGGCTGAGAATATCGCATTCGACTTGGTTTAGCGCCGAGAGAAGTGGCGTAAGGATCACCCATTGTATATCTTCAGAATGACACTCTATAACCCGCTCGACATCTTTCCTAATTTTCTCCATCTCTGCTTGCAGTTCATCAAACGCTTTGTGGACGTCAACGCCCATGGCACAGCGAGTTTGGTAGAAGAGGGTTGCAGCCGCGAGAAGGGGAATGGAGACCTTTCTTACCTTCATTGCTGACCGCAGCTCACGACTGAAAGCATCTTCGACAGGAAATCTAGCCTCACCTGTTTTGGTTCATCTTCGCTTGATTTGGAAGTATAGGGATCACCTTGGCGAATGAGCAAGGCGACCTGACCTGGTGGTCTCTGCTCAATGTATTGAAGGAAAATTTTCATCAACACGCGGTATTGACGCAACGCAAATTCCCAGTCATCGAACTCTGGTGATGTTACTTTTCCTAGGTCCTTCATCAACTCACACAGGTCATGGACCGAACCATGAAAGGGTTGGAAAATCTCTTCCGCCTCCGCCACCAACTGTGAAACCAGACTAACGGCTGTCTCACTTGCAAGGACGACAGCCTCAATTCTAGTGGCATTGCGCCTGTAATACCCCCATTGCGCAGCCACAAACCGGTGCATGGCCCCTATATCCTCGAGTATCAGGCGCAGGGCGAATTTTGCGTCGGCGAGGGTGCGTGGTGGCTCAGCTTCGTAACGTACTTCAGGAGCTGGGCGAGGGGCGTCTGGCGCGTTCAAGAATGATTCGGAGGGTTCGTGGACCTCCAACCCTTCAAACTGGTTCTTCTCTTGAGCAGTGAAACGTTCATCCGGAGCTGCCGCGGGTTCCGTTGCCATGAGTTGCCTCAATTTCTCGAGAACGTATTCCAGCACCTAGATAAAGTACTGATGACGCTGATCGGATCCCTGGTCCGCTCCCTGAATCTTTTGGCCGTGCTTGCGCCGGCATTCAATCGCTCCCTCGAGCCGCGTGATGAGTTTCCGGGGAACTTGCACGATCGCAGCTCCGCTCGCAGCGATTCTGTCTGCAAGCTCGGCGTATTCATTGGACGTGACAAAGCATTTCGGTGGTTCTGCCCCTTGAGCTGCAGCCATGGCAGCAGCTTGCGCATTTTTCCTTGCTTTTCCTTTCAGTCATCCAGGTTGTTTCTGCTTGGTGAAACCTGGTGCATTGTTGGCTAGCTATTGGGCCACATAGTCGGTATCCCGCTTATACTGGCAGTATAGACTGTTTGTGAATGTCAAGCCGTGCATTTTTAAAGGCGGTTGACCAAAACAACTCAACTGAACTGTCGATGTGTGTGTGCGGGAGCAGATGCTCTGCCAATATTGGAGGTATTGGACTGACTGACTATATAGTGTCGCATTTCCCTTGTGCAGAGACAATCCTTTGACTCGGCCAAGAGTGGCCTTCAATGCGATCGACCATTGTCTGGAAGTGGCCCAAAGGACCAGAGTAAGGACAATGGCATTGATCACCAGCTCTGATCAAAAGGTCTAGTCGGAACTTGTAGCTTCGCAGGTTGGACACTATCCAGAGTGCAAAGAAAAGAACCAAGCTAACAAAGCAAGCCTCTCTTTCTCCGTCAGAGGCAGGGATAATTCAAGGAGTCCATACCAGAAACCAGGTCAAGTGGTTATGCCGACTACCTGCACTCAGAGTACCACAAATCATGATTTAGGACTGGTTTTAACACTTTACACCTGTTGTGTTACTGCCTCTCGGCGTAGTGCATTGGTGCACGTTGTTGCCACTCCGGCCAAATCGCTCTTTCCTGACTGCATCATCATATTTCACGCATCTGTTGAACTGGACACCCAATGTACTGTACTCCGGAGTAAGCTATTTAACTTGCCCACATATGCTCTAAGATTCATTTTGTCATTAATCTATTAACTGCTCGACGTCTCTACACGGCGCCTAACGCTGTTCCTTACCTTCCAACAACCGAAATCATGGGCGCGACCAGCATTTTGGATCGACTCTCAGCACTCGACACTAATACAGTCTCGGATGCATTGGGTTTCCTCGGCCTCAAGGGGGCGACTTATGGCCTCCGACCGCTCTGGGACTGTCCGAAGATTGTCGGACGTGCCAGCACCGTGAAAGTCGGTCCTAAGACAGATGCTGCATCCACCACTCATCTCCTCACATCGGTCATCGATAGGGTTAAGATCAACGATTGCGTCCTTTTCATAGCCGGCGGGATCGATGGGATTCCTGCTGGGGCGATATTCTCGCCAACGCTTCCAAACTGAAGGGAATTCGCGGAACCATCATCGACGGAATGAGCCGGGACATTGGTGGCAGCCGAGAAGTGGGATATTCTGTCTACGGTTGGGGAGTGACGATGATCAGCGCGCGGAATCGAGTCGTGCAGCTCGACTCGGGCACTCCGCTGCAGATGCGCGGCGTCACTGTCCACCAAGACGATTATGTGATCGCCGATCGCTGCGGAACTGTTCTTGTGCCAGCTGCGCGCATTGAGAAGGTTTTTCATCTGGCGGAGCGCATCGATCGTAGCCAGGCCCGCATGGTCCAGGCCGTTCGCGAGGGGCACGCTGTCTCCGAAGTGATGCACGACTCGCAATTCAAAGCCATTCGCGAAATCGCTCCGGCGCAGACTCCTGCGGCAGCCGTGCCAGCTCCCGGCCACAATCCCAAGTCGGCTAGCTGCGAAGACCAGGAACTTGTGGCGCTGTTCGCGGAGTCCGGCAGTCCTGGTGTCTCATATATGCGCTGGACAAGCTCGGGATTCCCGGGCAGGTCTTCGGGATCATGCCTCTTGCCAACTATACCAAGGTGACAGTTGGACCGGCCTTCAAGGTCCGGTATTTTCCTGCCAGCGATCCACCGGGCAGTGTTGGGGACTTTATCGATGATGTGGCTGTGGGGGATTTCGTGGTCATTGGCAATGGCGGTCGCACGGATTGTACAGTCTGGGGAGATATCATAACCCAGTATGCGGCTCTACGGGGCATCTCCGGGGCTGTGATCGACGGAGTCTGTCGTGATGTCAACCGTGCCATCAGCGATTCTAGATCAAACTTGGGATTGCTTAAGCTTTGTCATAGAATATGATTTACACGCAGACTTTTGCCGATGGGAACATCTCTTTGACTAGCAGATCATGGGAACAACAATGCCACTGTAGTTTGGGATGAGTATCCATCATTGGGGTGCATGATGAGGGATGCTTATCACATACTGGGCCTCAGCATCTAGGGCTCTTTTGATCAAATCCGGGTGGGTCATTCGGAGACGGACAAGCGGCGAGACTCCCATGGCAGTGATGGCAGCGGTTGAGCTGTGCATGGCATCGTTGCTGATGTGGCCGTGTTCACAATCGATGATTATGCCCTTTTATCATCAGTGGATGTTTTCCGGGATCTACACGGCCAGAGTACTGACATCGACACCGGTCTGGGCTACCATCTGTACCGGGCGAGAAGATGGAAGCCCCAGAAAGGTCATGATAGGTTTCGCGCCAGCTTGAAGAGCATTGAGCAAGCGGACTTGCGGATTGAAGATGGAGCCTGTCATGGTGGGCAATTCTGGTACATACAATACTGCGCGTAAGGGCGTTCTTGACAATTCATCGAAACCCAAAACCTTGACGATGAAGAAGAAAGACCTGTTAGTAATGTAGGATAGTACTCTAGTCTTCGTTGCGGAAAAAGAATGGTGGTAGCTGCATTGATTATCTACATCCTTCCTCATGCTCGGGGAAGCAACTTCGTCCCTGGCGGCGTCAAGTTGTAAATCTCGGGCACACGACTTCTGACCGAGATTACCAATCGACCCCAGACGTCCTGCATCTTCAAAAGAGAAGCTGATTGAACAGAACAAGATTTCATTGCAGACAAGTCTTTCGATCATTTGTTCTGTATGTACATCTATCTAACCGAATACACATACACCCATCATGGCCCTCACATACGCAACAATCCCCCTACAAGTTCAAGGCGTAAGCCTCAACATCTCGACCATCCACAACCTCAACTCGAAGCCCCCAACTGTGTTCCTGCACGGCTTCGAATCATGCAAGGAGGACCTGGCCGACATTGTCGTCCGTCCCGCATTCAAGCAATGTGGCTATCTCGCCTTTGACGCGCCAGGGTGCGGACACTCGGAAAGCGAGCGGCTCTCAGCGACGGATATCTCCTTCCTGGTCGCCTCGGCCGAAGCCGTGCTCGCGCACTTCTAGATTGAGCAATTCCATCTAATCGGACACTCGATGGGAGGACTCACGGCGCTCCTGCTGGCCCATCGCCATCCCAGCCGAGTCTTGAGCTTCGTCGATATCAAGGGCAATCTTGCGCCGGAGGACTGCTTTCTAAGCCGGCAGATCTTCCTCTTTCCGACCAACGACCCCGAAGCCTTTCTGAATGCTTTTATCGTCCGTACCGCCACCGCAAAGTCCTACGGAAGTCCGTTGTATGCAAGTATCTTACGTGCTCGGGTGTGCGCGGGCGCAGTCCGGGCCATCTTCGAGTCGATCGTGCATTTGTCCGACGAGGAGGATCTGTTAGGCATGTGCTTGGGATTGCCCGTCCGAAGATGTTCATGTTTGGGGAGGAGAACCGAGGGCTATCGTATCTCGCATGGCTCGGGCAGGCAGGCGTCGAATTGGCGGAGATCGAGGACAGCGGGCAGTTCCCCATGTTTTCGAATCCGGTCGAAATGTATCGTCGCATTGGCGGATTCCTGAAGAAATTATGATATGCACACGTGCTGCGTGAGATAAAATAAATGGCGAGAAAAATAATAAACTTTCATTGAGCTAAACAGAGTCATTCCCACGCTAAATGGAACCAAGTTGTTGAAAAAAGGGGTATCTTAGGTACGAATTAAATACGAAGTAGAAGAAATTTACGGGCATGGTGAATGCTTGTTGAATATTCACCGCTGCCTCACGCCTCCGAACCGTCCTGGGCCTTGGATGGCATGTCGTCCACTGTGACCTGCACCTCGTGGCTGTGTTCCAGGCCGGACAGGACGATCCAGGTAGGCACGACGCACAATAGTGTGATGCCGAAGTTGAGACCAATACTGGCAAAATGGTTGACATTGCCCTCGGTTTGCATCCTGGAATGGTCATTAGTTGGTTGTCTGGTGCGGGATGTCTGGGCTGTAAGAAAGCAAGACGGAGAACACTTACGCCCAAGCAACCGTCTGTCCCAGAGCCTCGAATCCTCTCAAGATTCCGCTGTGATAGGACAGAGACGAGATATCAGTGCTGTACTGACCGACCAGCCAGTAGAGGAATTGCTGGAAGGCCTGACCACCAAATTGCCAGAAGAAAACCAGGGCATACGACTTGCCGAACCCGCCCTTGAACCAGTCAAACACGGGGGCCTCCGGGGCCGAGTAGAACTGACTTTGCAGCACGCAAGCCCAAATCCAAGTGCCGGTGAGAATGAGGATGATCGACGAGAAGGCAATCTTGGCGCGGGTTTTGATGTGGATATTTTGGCGATCGAGCAGTCCGGCAATCAGAAACGAGGAGGCGATTCCGGCGAAGTTGGTGAAGAAAGAAGAGAAGGCGCGCGATCGAACCGTGAAGTAGTCGGTCAACCAGGTGCTAGAGAAGGCGTTGTAGAAATAGCTGATGAAAAAGGCCGGCAGCAACATCAGTACCCGGCGGGTCCCGATCAGCTTGATAGCTGCTTTGAATTCGGCTGCCCACGTCGCTTGCTTGTGCACCACGACCAGCGTTCGGTCTTTGCGTTGCACCTTCTCCGCCGGACTCAGGCAGAGGGCGATCGGTAATCCCAGGCACATAATGACGATGAAGACAATGTACGTGCCTGCGCTGATGGTTCCCTTGGAGGAAGTCTGTGCGTTGAGGCCCAGGCTGATGGCACCACCCACGATGGGGCCGGCAGCTTTGGCTGTTTGCCAGATCGCTGTTGGGAATCACGGTCAGTATGCGCAGAGGGTCGTCATGGAGTGCATTGGAGTGAGCGAGAGTCGACGTACCCAGGTAGAACGCGCGGTCCTGCGGGCTGGGATATCCGATGATGATGGCCGCCTCGGCAGCCCAGAAGAACCCAGCGGAGATGCCACATAACGCGCTGCCAAAGAGCATGAACCACGTGGTGGGAGCATAGTTGTTGGTATAGAGACCGGCGCCATAGATCGGATAACCAATAGCTCCGAGGACCAAGCCAAAACGAAGGCCGATGCGGTTGTTGATGGCACCGGCCGCAACACATACGATGGAGAACAATCCGTAGACCAAGGCATTTGCCGCCGAGACGGCATAGGGCTCTGCTGCTCCACCAGCGCCAAGGTTGTTCATGGCATCCCACATGCCAGGAGCAGTGAATGAGACACCACTGGCGATGGCAATCTGGAAGGGAATCGACCGGTAGATGGACTTGAACCCAGAGAACCGAGACACGCGCTCCATGTCCATGGCCCGGGGCTCTTCCGGGGTGCCAGCCTCGTGGTTGGCAGTTACGGAGGCCATTTCTACTCTGAGACACACGACAAAACTTTCAGGAAAGCAAAAAGGGGAGCTTTGCGAGGCAGAGGTCTGTCTATAAAAGAAATTTTACCTAACGAGCCGAGTGAGTCAATAACGTGATTGGAATCACGGCTGTCGTGATGGAGATGCCAAGACGCTTGATGCTACAATTGGAGTTTCTGTTGGCCAATGAATCATTCAACCCTAACCCTCGATTGCCCACAGCCACACGAGGTCAGATAATCTCAGTCTGAATGCTCTACGGTTGGGGTGATTATTAACTGGCATGATTTGACACCTGACAAAGATGATCTAGCTGATCTTTGCAAGTTCTGACTCTTCTGAGGAGGTCTAGTCTAGTATACCAGCCTTTGCTTGCCTCCTCTTGAAGACCCCTGATGCGTAGATATCTAGTTAGGTACAGTCCTTAGTAGCAAGTTCGATTTAACCTTGCAGGTTTAGATTTGCCACGCTCTGCAGGGCAAAGTGCGGTGGAGTCTAGAATTTTCTGCGCCCGCCACGCGAACCACCCACCAATCAGACCCAGATTCCAGAAGGCAAATCCCGGTGCAGGATTCAATCTTGATAAGCATTCTCTGTGCAAGGTTGAGATTATCGATAGAAATTACACCTGGCTTCCGTTCCGCTTCCTGCGATGGCGTTCCGACCGACCCGACAAATCCCTCTCATTCCTTCCCCCGCTCTCCCGCATGCACGCCATCTGCCATCCATGTTCTTGGCACCCTTCTGGGATTCTGACAAAGATAACCCGTAGTGTCTCAGAGACGACGAGTAACTTACGTAGGGTTACTACGTCATATCTGCACACATATATCGGATGAGGTATATCGGATGAGGCTCATAAGTACTGAAGTCACCGGAATGCATCGACGGTGTAATGATTCGACAGAGCAACAAGTTTCGGTTTATGGGTAGACTCCAATCGGGGCGACGGTCAAATGTCAATCACAACGAAGCACCCGACGTCAGGGTCTCACACAACTTGAAGACAACCGCATTATATATAACAAGATCCATGAGCAAACGTGACCAGATAGCCATCGTGCTCTCTCTAAGACCCAGGTAGCGCGTAACCCGTTGGGAAATCCAAGGTCCGCAACAAGTTGAACACGACTACCCTCAAGCTCAAGAGAAGTATGATCTGAGAGAAGTAGAGGATGGATTTATTATTTAGGTAGTGCTATGTACTGTACAGTACAAGGTGAGATCTTGGTGTTGTTGGCCAACCACGGCTGAAATGCAGGTGGACGGAGAGCGAAGATAAGGAGAGAGACAAGAAGATAAACAAGAGCCCATCCTCCTCTTTCTCCGTGCATGGCTATTCCACCTACTTGACATGGATGAGCACGCGACCGTAACGAGTCAAGGGAAATTTCCCGTCATCCGTTCCTTCCAGGATGATGGAAATGGTTTGGCCAGCCTCTGCATCCGCGGGGATTGTAATATCCGCCCGATCGTTCTCGACCTCCGTCACGATCACGTGACCTGGATACGTGCCCTCCTCAAAAAACTGCCACCATGACGTGGTCACGCTGTGGGAATCCGGATCGGTGACATTCCCTGCCAGAGTGATTGTCGTGCCAGCAGGCGCCTCCACGGTGGTTCCATTAAGAATGCTGACGGACGGTGGATGGTTCGCGTCTTCATAGCTCGGAGTCAGGGTCAATTGCATGCGCGCCGCGAAGTCATTCTGGACCGCGCCCGCCCAGCAATCGGTCGTGTAGTTGGCGATGTCAACACCCGCCTTGTTTTTCTCGGTTGGGACCATCACCCACAGGTTGGGGGAAGTGGAGTTCTGTGCGCTTCGGCCCCCCCCCCCCAGCCGCCGAGCAGTGGGTTGGCCGGATCCTGGAGACCGGTTGCCAACAAGGGATTGAACACCACATTGTCGCCTTCGGACAAGAAGGCGTATGGCTCCAAGGGCTGACAGAAGCTGGACGAAGAGGCGGTCGCCGGACTGCCGAAGATGTCCTGCGCGTCACCAGGCATGGACTGCTCGTCGAGCCAGGAACGGTAGAGCCTTCCGTACGGACCGGTTTGGATGTGCGCTTTCATCCAGTCCCCGGTGAAGTACACATTATCCCCCAAGGAGAGTCCGCGAGTATTACCCTGGCCTTTATCGCAGTTGTAACCCCAAGTCCTGTACCCCGGTTCCAACTGCTCGACGCGCACGTCGGGCCAGCGAAGAGAGATGTAATCCGCATATGTCTCATCTTGAAACCCGCTGGCCAAGATGACGGCTTTGCGGGAAACAGAATCCTGCGTCTGGCTCCACTGCGATGAGTTGGAGTACTCCTCTTCAATAGACTTCAGAGCACGGGCGATGGTGTTGGTCCCGCCCCAGGCTTGCAAATACAGCGGCCGTGGGTCGTCATTCAGAATTAGGGACCGGATGAGATCAGAACCCTCAGTGTCTTGTTCCATCTCGCCTTCAAAGTCAATATTACCAACCTTGACCAGGGCTCGCAGCTCGTCGGGGGTAGGAAAGAACGGATCGTGGTTGTTCAAATTGGGCCAGATCTCAGCATAGGCCCGGAGCACTTGGTCTTGGACAGTCCGCGAGCCAGTCCAACGCCACGCCCACTGTGGGCTTCTATACTCGCGATCGGACAAGAAGAACTTGGTTCCATTGCCATCTCCGGACCAGTGATACCGACTAGAGGTATAGATGATCCCTTGCGTGTCGAGCTCGTTCGTATAAAGAAGGTACCGGATCAGAGATGCCAAATCGTCTTGCTCTAGGTCGGTGGTGACGACTATTCTGAACATCGAGGCCCGGTCGGCGGCACCGTATACGAAATCAGAAAGCCCAGTGGCCAATAGGCCTGCGGTGAGCAGCTGCCTCTGGAAAATCTTCATTGCGGAACGGAATAGAAGATGAAGCTTGATTCTGTCGGATTTCTAAAACGTCCCGTTCTTCAGGGAAAAACTACACGTATGAATAAGACATAGTACAGTACATACAACCCACACGGCAAAGAGGTTCGGGAATTTATAGAAACTTCTTCAGGCATATCTAGAGAATGCGGGGAGACACACCCCGCAATTTTGCCCCAAATACTGTGGGGAATCGAATCGGGAAGCTGGTGGCTCGCGTGAGGCGTGAGGCTCGGCTTGAATCCTTGCGGATCTAGCGCTTATCTTGCCCATATTTGGCTTCCTAGCGCTAACAATTACTGCTTTGCGCCTTACTGCTCGGTTGGGATGCTATAATTGCCAACTTCCCAGCTCTGCAGTCACTGGAGTCTCGCACCTGTCAGTTGCCTGACCTACCTTATTTGGCTTGGAGGTGGAGGCTCCTGGAGCACTACACAACTAGTGACTTGATTATACTGCATACCTGACTAAGCTGAAAGGTAGTAGTTATGCTACTCCCGGCCACATTGACGGAAGTCCAAGCCGAATTTGTGAAATTACAACCAAGACCGATGATGAACAGGGCCGGTCGAATAGGTTGACCGTCTGCTGTACTTGCTATAATAAGAAAAAAGTTGTTGACGCAACATACATTCACAAAGTATAAGTAGTGTCTGGTCTTCAATCTGCGCCTCTCGCAGCGGTATTAGAATATCCCCATATTTCCAGGGGCCCTCCCGTTCTCTTTATTGTAAGCCCTTCTATAGCCACAGCAAACCAAGCAACAGTGGCGCCGGTACTGACAGCATCAGTACTTAAATCATTTTTGGAGATATCATTAGTGTACAGACAAATATGTAGCCTGGTCCTTAACGACCCTAACAGTCCATAACTTGATAATGGATGATGACAGGCAGACATGCTAAGAGTTCTCTGCTCAATGGATTATTACCAACAGAGACGTGAAAATAGATTCTACGATAGACCTGAGATGATTTGATATAATCAATTTTTATTTAAACAATGGATTGAAAGAGAAGGAAAGCCACGGTATCAGGTAATGAATAACGGACTTGTCCTTGGAGGTAATCTGTGTCTAGACCTCTTGTGTCCCGATCTCCTGTGCCTCGACTTTCTGTGCCTCGACTTTCTGTGCCTCGACTTTCTGTGCCTCGACTTTCTGTGCCTCG